TGTTGGCGCAAACCTGAGGTGGAAGGAAGAAGCTCCCCTCGATAAGGATGGCGTAGGTAGCTTAATCGATAAGCGGCAGGCAGAGAGAGGCAGACTCAGGTCGCGTCGCATCCTGCGTCGCCTAATGCTTAGCGCGACGGATCGCGGGGCACTGCCAATTTAGCGGAGGCCCCCCTGGCTGGCGAACCACAAAAGCGTGGGCGGGGCGCTAGACCACAACAAGAAGGCGGTCAAAAAAACAGAGAGAGAGGAACTCAGACCACTTAAGTCTCTCTCAATGGGACGATTATGTAAGTCAAAATTATCGAGCGTTAGCGCCTGGCAGAGCAAAAATTGGAGGCAAGTTAAGCAACATCGCGAGACTTCAAGACCTGGACGACAGCCACGCGCAAGCTTGAAATCGACCAATTGCCTGGCTAGAGAAGCTCATAAGCCCACACAGTATGCCTAAATCCCTCTAAAATGTTCCGAAAAGCGCCATTGGTACTGACATGTGTCCTAGGTCAACATGAGGGCATCTCGGTTCCAGCAGTTCCTGAATCCTTTCCTCCGCAAGGCCCCGGTCGCCCCGACATGCCAGACGAGATGGCTTCATAAAACCAGAGAAGCCCCGCCCATTCCGTCGCCGATACCTCTCATTCCCGATGTCGAGACCTTGTTGAAGGTCGTTGGCCGCGGCCTCAACCAGCACCTTGACAAGTTCCCCACATGGGATGCTCTGTTCTCCCTCACATCGCTACAGCTCCGAGAGCTTGGCCTCGAGCCACCAAGGGAACGACGATACCTCCTCTCATGGCTGGACAGATACAGGAAGGGCGCATTTGGCCCCGGCGGCGATTTCAAGTATGTCGAGAGTGGGGAGGCTATCTTGAAGGTCGTCCGAGACCCCGCGACAGACAAGAAGATTGTCGTCAACGTGCCGGCGGACGCCGACGTTAGCAGCCTGCAAATCGCTCAGCTCACAAAGCCTACGGGCTACACAGTTCGCGGCGCAAACACGATTTCTGGTCCTCATGCCCTGCCTCTGCCGGGCGGCGAGGGAGCTCGTGTGGTTGTCGCAGAGGGTATGTGGGAGCACAAGCAGGGTCACAAGGTTGATGGTGGTGAACGCAGGAGAGGTGAGGTTCGCTTCAAGAAGCGCATCGCAGCGCGTAAGGCAGAGAGGGAGGCTGCCGCTGGTCTACGATAAACTCCTCGAAGCGTTTAAGCATGCCGCCCGTTCTACAGCCTCCTGCCGCTTGACACCACCAACTGTACTATATTCATAGATCTTGTACGATACGAGGTCCAAAAAAATGGGAAGGCAATCATCAATGAACTGCACATGCCACGGCTGAGTTTCTGGACATCTTACTGAGGCCGCTTTGCTATTATTAGCGCAACGTATCTCGTGACGCCCATCAGCTTCACCAAGGACTGACGATGAGGGGCTTGCCATCTGATTCGTCAGTGTGCGTCTCTCATTTTAGTCCAGGTGTTAGATAACACGAGGCATACCTGGCCTCAGCTGCACTTGAAATCATTGACTGTTGTCAGATACAGGAACCCAACAATGCGCAGAGAACGCCATCGGCGTGAGTTCAGACTGAAGGATGCACAGTGAGGATATCTTAGACCACCCCACCCCTCAAAGGCGTAGCCGCGATATACTGGAGGGTATCACGGATCTCGTACAACAACCAGCTAAATTTGTAGCTCCAAAAAGGATGTCGCGGAGATACCGAGCTGAAGCACCTGTTCGATCCATGGCATCCGTCATTTCACAGGCAAAGTGGAAGGGAAGACCCCTAGCAACACTTTGGACCAGATTGCTAGGCTGGTGGTTGTACGGAGCGGCAGATCAGCGAGAAGGCCAAGCGGACGGATCTAGGCATAACCTTGGATGCCGCCGCAGCCTGTAAGGCAAGGCGGGTAGTAGTTTGGTGGAGTTGCGAGGAAAGTCGGGGGAATGTTGAAGCTGCTTACATCCTAAGTCTTGGCAGTGGAGGCTCACTCTACAGAGGCCAGACTGTACCAGAGAAGCATATCCGCGTGAATATTCTCGCGCGGGACGAGAAAAATCGCACCCAAAAACGGGCAACCAGCGCGAAGAGATGTGATTCCTGTAGGTGTACGGACTGACACGGTTGCTGCGCGCTTGCTTGTAGCGACCATGTGGCAACACTCAGCCACCGGAAACCTTTATACGATTGAAATACAATTATAGATTTTCATTTAAGGTATTCGGGATCAAAAAGCTTAAAACAACAGCGGCCATCACCCGGGCTCCCATCCAGTCTATAGGAAGGCCCCAAAAGAAGATCTCTATAAGCTTTGACTAAGGAGACTCGCAAGGCCGCCCATTCAACTCAAAATTCCACTTCCTGGTGGCTGCCGTTCCAGCGGACCGTCCCTACGTGGGGGCTGGCGGAAACGCCAAATACCGGCGTATGTTGAAACTTGCTGCCGGTGATCCTTCTTGCCACAGGTTTGATTACGGGATGACAATCGGCTGTTGGAAGTTGACTCAAAACCCATCGCGTGGCGCTGCCACCGCACCCTCAGGTCTTAGTATCTAAAGTCATATGTGAATAGGTTACTTGGTCTAAGGTAACAGGTCCATTCGTCTGTTGGCAGCACAGTGCCTCAACTTGGCACATATGTAGGACTGTGAAGTGCATTTCTTCTCACTTTTCTCGTCTCTGGAAACTCTAGCGACGCCACTCCCACGGAGCGAGGCAGAATCGATGCTCATTTATGCCAGCCACCAGCCCTGTATGGCTGCAGGTATGTGTTCAGCCATCCCGCCTTGAGACCACAGTCGCTCACATGCGGTGAGAAGCGCCACCAAGGTCAGGAAAACCACGGAGATAATTAATGATGCAGCAGTGCCAACGCGCGACGTTGGCGGAATATCTCTTGCATACGCCTACCCATGTTGGTTTCATTTCTCATGGCAGGTGGTCGTGTGAGTCATAAGCCATAATGAGCGCTGGCAGTAGCTGAGGCCGTAGGATCCCTTCATTCCAAACAGAGTCTTTCCACGCATGTCAAGGTGTGGAAGCCTAGACTTCACACGATGCAGGGGCGTGAAAAGGCGAGACCTACATGAGATGGAGTGATCAGCACCAGAGCAAGCCCGACAGGTGCGCAGCCGTCGACAGCAAATCTTGGCGTTTTGAAACGAGCTGACAGAGGCTGGTGGTGATGGTGTGCAACCATCATCCCAATTCTGGGGGACGGTATGTGTTGACCATGGTCCCGACGGCGATGTCAAGGCCCGGCAGCCGGACGGCGGTGCAGCTCGAAGGGCGTCAACTCACAGCAATCCCTTCCCCCCTCCCCATATGTAGGGTCTGCAGCACAAACACGCCCTCTGCATAAGGTAACGGTAACTTGGCACCTACTTGCGTCACTGGCAGGCACCCGACCACCATCATGGACGCCTTGTCTGGAACGGCTCTGGGCGGGTTGTCGCGAATTTGGCGGACCGCCAAGCGAGATGTTCATTCCAGGTTAGCGTCCTTGCCATCCTAGTAGACCCCGTAACCCCGGACTTTCTCTAGCACGGCACGGGAGTACAAAGTTCCTCCCCCAGTCACTTGGGAATTGGCCGTTGCCGCGCCCGGACGCTTGACTGAGCCTCAAAAAAGCTTGCCGCACTCTTGGCAGACAGCCAAGCACTTGGATCATTGGCAATCCAACCGCACTTGCCTTTCCAAGCCGCTTGCCGCTCCGAATTGCAGATCGCTCACAATGTTGCGAGAACAACGACAGAAGTGTTGTCGGAGCGTCCAACGTGCTTCACGAACCAGGTGAATGTCGAAGCGTATTGTTTTGATGTGATTTCCAACAGCGGACTTACAAAAGACCACGGACAAGCGTTTGCAACGGCGGGCTTGCAAAACACCGCGGACAATAGCGACTCGCGCTTTTGCTTCCGCGCCCTCTCCACCGATATGGGTCGAGAATATGCTCCGTGGCGAGTCCGTCAACAACAAGCAGATCGAAACTCTCGAGGGGGTAAGCAGGGAGGCTACGTCTCCTGCAGCCCAACTGCGGGTTCTCACATTCGTCTCAAAGATCAGCGTCCGGTCGTCGCGCGTCACGATTCATATATGAAGACGTGTGCATTGCTCTCCCGAAGTTCCGATGCTGCTGGATACTCATACAGGATGGACATTCCCTACTCAAGATGCCGTCGATGCCGATGCAGACACCTCTGCTTGGTCGGCCGAACGATGGTTGTATTTGGTAAGCTAGAGGCGTCCTGGGCTTCTTGGGTCCATGCCTAGTCACTCTCATCGCATACGACTCAGACTCCGTGGCCGAGCCTGTGAAGCCAGTCGATGCCCTGGTAAACATCAGCTCGCCAAGCTGTGGGAAGCTCGTCATGGGCACCGGACATAATTCATATATGGGTAATCTCACCACTTCGATATTGGCACACCTTGGCGGAGGGGCAAGTTGGCAGCGCGGCTCTCAGCCAGCATCGCCAATCAGAGTTGAGATGATTGGTCTGCATTCTAATCTATGCGACCCTGCATCACCTCCGGACCAGTTCCGCTCTGCTCCAGATCTCGCAAACGGGAAGTTAAGAAGAATCCGGCAGGTCAATTCCGGGGGAGGACTGTCGGTATCGTATGAGAGAGGCAGCAATTCCTTTGAGAAACGGTTGAGTCGGAAGATCTCCCCAGGGCGGGCAGGCTATCTGGGTCCATCCCATCCCCCGTCGGCCTGGCCCCACGCCTCCGCGTCTTCCTCCATGGGGGACCACGGAAGGGATTGGGTACCTCCGCAATCCTCCCACACCCGGCTCCATAACCACCCCGAGCTCCATGATGGAGTTATCTATCCCCCTCGTGGAGCATGGAGCTAACGCCCACGGGGAAGAGACAGGCTAAAAAGCTGGCCTCTTGCCCGATCCCAAAAGCCAAGAAGAAACTTTCAACCTTGCGTCTTTCTTCTTTCCGTCCTGTCTTTCCAACCCAGTCTGTGTGATCTGGTGCATTGCGAAAATCATGGGCTCCAAGAAGTACTTTGGCCTTACGGGCGACGCCCTCAACACCCTCAGAATCATTCTCATCATTGCGCCCAGTTTCATTCTTTACGGCTACAACATCGGTGTGGTCGGCGGTCTGCTCACCGAGGAGGATTGGGTCAAGACCTTTCCCCAAATTGATACTGTCAACACATCCGGCGCAGAGAAATCTCGGAACTCGACACTACAAGGATTCATCGTTGCTACCTTCACTATCGGCGCTACAATCGGCTCTCTCTCATGTTCCTGGACCGGCGATATCTATGGACGTCGAAACATTATCTTTTTCTCCGGTGTTCTCACCTTGATCGGTGAAGCCCTGATGTGTTCTGCTTTCGGTCTGCCTCAGTTCACCATTGGTCGTGTCATTTGCGGTCTTGGCATTGGTCAACTTAGCTCGATTGTGCCCGTCTGGCAGTCCGAAACGTCCGCCGCAGCCAACCGCGGCCGTCAGGTTGTCATGTCAGGATGCTTTATGTGCGTCGGGTATATGCTTGAGTCTTGGGTCGACTTCGGCTTCTTCCAATTCCATTCGGGCCCAATCACGTGGCGCCCGCCTCTGGCCATCGCCTGCTTCTTTTCGATTGTCCTCATGGCCTCCATTTACTTCTTCCCGGAGTCGCCCCGATGGCTAGTTATGAAGGGCCGCTCCGAACAAGCACGATCTGTCATTGCAGTGCTGAAGTCGCTGCCAGAGGACTCTCTCGAAGTGCAGGCCGAATTGTCCGGCATCGAGTACTCTCTCGAAGAAACCAAGGGCTCTGCGGTGTCAATGAAGGATATGCTGAAGAACGGCGAAGACAAGCTGTTGTATCGCTTTTTGCTTTGCATGGGTCTCCAGTTCTACCAGCAGATGTGGTATGTACTCACCAATGTGCTTATTGTCTGGTATGAACAGTGACTAACACAACACACAGTGGTTCCAATTTGGTCAGCGTTTACGCGCCGATTCTATTCCAGCAAAATTTGGGCATGTCCAGCCAACAATCTCGCATCATGTCTGGCGGCACCCTCACCTGGAAGTTCCTCGCCTCTTTCATCGCCTTCTTCACTATCGATCGTTTCGGCCGTCGAGCTGCCTTCATTGTCAGTGGTAGTGGCATGTCCATTTGTATGGTTGCCCTCGCTGTGTCCACGTCCTTTGGTAAGGACAACTATGCCGCGCAAATCTCTGCCGCTTTCTGGATCTTCCTCTACAACACCTGGATCCCGATTGGCCTCATGGGAGCCAACTACCTCTATTGTACCGAGGTCGCCCCCTTGCGCCTGCGCATGGCCATGTCCTCTATTTCGACCGCCAACCACTGGCTGTTCAACTTCCTGGTCATCATGGTCACCCCCGTGGCCATCAACAGCATCGGGTACCAATACTACATTGTTTACGCCGTCATTGCCTTCACCTTCCCCATCGTAGTTTGGATGTGGTTTCCCGAGACGACAGGCCGCAACCTTGAAGAGATTGACCTTCTGTTCCGCGAGTCGCCTTCAATCTGGGCCACGGTCAAATATGCCAAGACTCGGCCCATTGCCATGCCGCAGGAGTTCAGGTCAGAGAAGGACGAGAAGGCAGCACACCTCGAGGAGGCCTAAGCAATTGTGCAAAGCATGGCTCGTCCCAAGTGCGGTCCGCCTTACCTGCGCTTTGTGGACATGACCTCGGCGTAGTACACAAATACTGATTGCTGATGTGCAACATGTATCAGAAGACCGGATAGGATAGACATGGATGGATAAGAAAGACAATGACTACATACAAGTTCAATACCTAAGCCCTCGTCTGCAACCCGCACCTACTATGAACCAAGGCATCACACGTACCAGTATCAGCGAGTTCACAGAACAGCACTATTTTGCCAGGTAATTGTGTGCAAGGTGGTACCTCAGGCTCCTAGGGGTGGCCTCAATTCTTGACATATGGTCGAATTTAAAGCAGCGACGGTCCGGGCTGAACACAAGCAACTGAGCAGTACGCCGTGAGCAACATAAACCCTGTAAAGTACCGATGGGTGATTGGGTGGGATTTGAACAAAGTTACGAGATGGATGCTCCCTAAATTAGGATTCTCCTTGATTGGATGGGATGAACTGCTCCCACACACTCGCCCACCATGTTGGAGCTGTGCGACCCAAGAGGCGTGCTGCCGTTGCGTCCAATGGGTAAAGTCCAACGTTTAAGCTTCGGCGAGAAGCAACCGAAGATGAACCGCCCCGACCCGTGGGTTCCATCTGGTTAGGCAGGTAGCTCATGGTGCTCTTCCTCCCTTCGTCAACGTGCACCTGGCTTGGCCCCCATACTTGCCGACGCAACCCAACCTGATACAATAACGACTACACCCTCTCCCCCAACAACCTTCTCGCGGAGATACGACTTCGCATGTATGGCAAAAGAACGGAAATTCAAGAACAACCGGCTTATATCACGATACCTCTACGTCGACGGCAACCCCTTCGCTCCACAATGTCACTCCTCGAGCACCTGGTCAGAGTTGGGGCGTGACGGGTACGGTAACCGCGGTCTCATTCGTCAACATGGCGCGTCTCGACGGCATTGCCGCGACCTTAACTTGACATTCCACCAAGTTTAGGCAGAGATCCTTGCCTGGCATCTACCGGTGGGTATGACTGCGATGCGTCAGATACTCGCCGTTTGAGATCAACGAAATGCAGCCACGCGCGTTGTTCCTCAACTGTCCCGGGCTACGTCAGATCCAAATTTGAATCCGCTTCTTTTCGTCGCAACGACCGTCGTCAGCGAGTGTCCTTTGCCGGTGGCGCTTTCCCAAGACAGTCCCGATTAGGCAGCCAGGCAGACGCCACAATCCATCGACCTCGTGAAACCTCACCAAGTCACCGGCTTTGCTCAAATCGAAACGGCATTGCATGCCAAACACAACCTCACGCCAACCCGTTTGTGCGATTTCTTCAGGGTTGCTTGATGAGAAGTCTTGTACCCAAGGAACTTTAGCGTGGTCCTGGAGACTCAGCTGAAAAGCCAGTTCCGTGAATATTTTCTTGGCGCTGGGTGGCTGTTCCTCCATGAGAATGCAGGTTCAACCATGCAGGAATGTCACTTAGATTCGCTGGGTGGTGCTTCCTTCCCAAGTCAAGTCAGCGAGGGCCAGGGCGCCACGCAGGGCGGCGTATTCGAAGCTGCCGCAAACCCCACGCTATCGACGGGCTGTGTTGGAGTTATCCCTTGATGAAGCTGAGCGACGGGTGTCTGCAGTTCTGACCACCAGTCCAAACATCAACCCCCTTCGCCAAAACTCCGCAACATTACTCTCTAAGAGCTCGCACTGTGTGCCAGCCTAGGACTTTCCTTACGGGCACCTGATGTCGCAGACAAGGAAAAAACGGCAACTCTCCAGCAGTTTCTCAACTCAATCGCCCCGTTGTTGCTTCACCGAATCCAGGGCAATGCCCGGCATTCGTGGTCACGAGAGCGTCAAAAAGCAAGGCAAAGGAGCCGGATCTTTACGCGCGGTTTCTTGTCGGATCGGGTCCAACCGAGTGTTTTTCGTCCACTCAGCACGGGCGGAAATTGGCGACGGGCACGAAGCGAGCCGGAGACCAAAGAGGAAATTTCTGGGCCTATCAATAAGCTTAAACGTCGCCGTCCCACTTGCTCGGAATGTTTCGCTCTCTTCCACCTTCCACAGACCAGCCAGACCCTCGACCTTGGACTTTCGGACGGCGGACGGCGGGAGGATCGAACCCACCCACCACCTGGCCACGAATCAGCACGGAACAGAAAACCGGAGCCGGTCGATGAGTCAACCTGGCCGTCTTGCCGGGTCGCCCTCCACTGAAGCAAAAGACGACGCCATGGTCTTACGGCGGGGTGTCCGCCGGTTCGTAATCGTCCACGCACGTTGAACATGGGAGCCAATTTCCACGGGGCATGTACCTGTCATCTGCAGGGTTGAGCTAGGACTCATCGATCACCTGTCGCATGACACCCTCCTTTCCATGTCCCAACCATTTGGACACGCCGCGCATTCGAGCAACGTCGGTAATGCTGCCAAACTTCATCGACAGAGAGCCTTGCCGGCGGGCGCAATCACCAATTGTCCAGGAATGAGTGTGTGTATACTCTTAGAGGCGTCAGATCAAAGGTGCAGCAAATGCACTGCACGCGCATCGCTTCTGCGCACCGTGTGTGTGCAGACAGTACGGATGGCAGCTATTGGGTTCGGTCTCGATTTGCATGGGCAAATACACAGACGAGACGGCCACTAGCTAAGCTAGATGCAGGACCGAACCCCTGGCCAACCCACGTCAGGCACGACATGCGATGCCGTTCATTGGGCATTCCTAATCGACCTAGGGCTGAAGGCAAACAGGGTCCCAGGCGTCGTGTACCCATCGATATCCAGCTTTTTGCCAAGACCGGCCGCCGTCAGATCCTTCTTTGCCTCGAACGTTGGTGTCTGTTGTTGAGGCCGCTTCATAAGCTATGGTCCACCAGACTGCTGTCGGTGTGCAGTTGGGTACGTGGGTGTTCATCGGCTACGAATGCCCTTACGTATCAGCTTCATCAGACTCTTCGTTAAGAGCATGATATACGATGGATTGCGATCGCAACCAGGTTCGCCTCATCGGAGGGCCCACCCTCCCGATACACCTCTGACCGCCCCGCCCCGGCTCACCCACCGTGACAACCCGGTCTCAACTCCATTGCCATGGTCAACTGGCGGAAACAGTGCCCGCCGTTCGCCCCGGTTTCCCCTCGTCCAGCTCTAGGGCCGTCCCGTTTGGGGAAGCCAACCGCGCTGTGAAGTCAACGGCGCAGCCACGGGACACGCTGCCGGCGTCTTCGTGCGGGAATAATTGGAAAGCTTTCAAAAGCCCCTTTGTATTATTTTTATCTCCTAGTCGTGTCTGTCTTGGCTGGTCGTATTTCGCTTTCGAGGCCACAACATGTCCGTCACATGGAACCCTGGTCTTGTTGTCCTGTCCAAGACAACCCCGGTGAGATGTTTCGAACATTGGGCGAACTCTCCCACACCCCTTGCGGCAGCCGGAGTATACCCACCCTCATCATCCCCATGCTCGCGATCCGGCGCTTCGTTCCCAAAACCCCATCATCTACCGGGGGTAGCTGTCTGTCATCTGCGTTCACCACACTAGTTACCCGTTGTCGACGTACTCAGCTCTCGTCACCCCTACCCATCAGGAACATATCCTTCGTTGCTACACACCCCTCCATCAACCCAATATGGCTTTGACTACTACACCCTGCCCGTCTATACCTTGTCTTCCGTTCCTTGGCAGATATGGCACTGTGGACTCGAGTGCCGAACCTGCCTCTTTTCGCGTAAGGTATTTTGCAGATGTCAGTTTCTGCGTCACGGCGCGGAAGCCACGGGCAACTGACCCCGTTGCCGTTTTCAAGTCTGCCCCATCCGCCGCATGAGGCTTTCCAGGTTCTCCCGCTGCTGGTGGGTGATCCCGGCATTGCGTAGGCATCTGTGCTACATCTCTGGAGCAGCAGCCTGGTTGATGTTGGTGTTGCGGACTCTATTATAAAGAGACGTTGTGCCTTAGCTTGACAAACATCTCGTTCATCGAAACATCAGGCCAACATTCAAGTCTACTTCCAACCACTCGAGCTCTGCTCAGACACCTACTATCTCATCCCTCCGTTGATCATACTCGATCAAAAGCAATTCCCTCTTCAGTATCTGCCAATTCAAGACCGCAAAGTGCTGGCCATCTCGTCATCATTTCTCCTTTGTAGCATACTGTTTGGTCCTGGTCTTGGGCAGCGGGACTGGAGTCCGTCCTTGAAGAGCAGCACATAAACTTGCTTTCCCTGTTGAACGAAACCCGCAATGTCATCAAAATCGTCAAAGCACTCGTCAGAGTCGAGCTCCAAGCACCACTCCTCACACTCTCACTCAAAGTCCAAGTCGAAATCTTCATCCAAGAACGACGACTGGACAGACATCACAGATCCGGAAGAGCGCCGCCGTGTCCAGAACCGTCTTGCGCAACGCAAGTTTCGTATGTCTTTTCCCTAGAAAAGCCCCTCTCCTACTTCAGAAAGAAAATTCCTGACTCGCTTAAACAGGCAAGAAGAATCAGGATAGCAAGGAAAAGGCCACCCGAGATACGCAGAACGAGGAGAACGCGCACAGGTCCTACGTCGTCTCGTCGCCCGAAAACCTGGAGCCCGAAGAAAAGGAGTACTTACCCTGGGGCAGCATCAACATCAGACATGTCGTGTCGAGGGGCCACGAGCACGAGAGTCGCCGGGGGAGCGGACGTGGCGAGTACGTGAACGAAGATACACAGTACACCACCACGTACGGCAACAACTACACGACGAGCTACCCCCAGCCGCCCAGTCACGGAAGTAGCGGCGGGGAGGAGTACCACTACGACGAAGAGCCGTACTATTACGACTATGATCAGAGCGGCAGCCAGAGCCAGGGGCAGAGTTACTATCAGAGGTATGAGCTATAGTCCTCCTTGGATGTGTCTACAAGCAGCTAACGTTTGGACAGGAACTGAAGAAGCCAGAACGAGGAGTTGTCGCGAAAGATACCCGATTACCCAGCTCGTTTTCTGGGCTTGCAGCGCAAATAGAGCCTCCCCTCTCGAAGTCCTTCTCTCACCTCTTATGAATATACGAAACAGGGATAAAACAGGCGCAAACGCGTACGGGAACAATGACCTCATTGATCAGCTCGTGTTCTCGAGTGAGCGGAAATATTAATTTTTCTTGAGTGTTTTAATCATTGGTTTGATCAACTCTTCTCGAGCCTTGTTCTCTTAGTCTTGTTTTCGCTATCGGGCATTTATGGTCAGGAAAATAGGGGGATATACTGGGTAGCATCTACACGAAGGGACGCTTAAAGAATAACAGACGACCAGCGGAGGAAGTATTTTGGACTTTTACAGCGAAGACGCAATACAGACGAAGACAACTCTGCTTCCAAAAGATTAAGCTACTTTGTGACTTCTGAACATGGGACGGGCTAGCACAGCTACAAAAAGGTGGCCTTTAGGACTGCGAAGAGCCTACGTCTACGATATTCTGACCCTAACCCTGAGGATCGATCATCCAGCCGTCATTGCAACCACCCAGGCCCCAGAGTCATCTACGTTGAGATCACGAAGACTGCTCACACTGCCGAGACTGCCTGGCCTGCCTAAGGATGCCTAGTCACTGCAACCTATCCCCCTACACACGTCGAGCATGACGTTGAATCACAGTTGCTCTAGATCTACCCGCTATACGAGGGTATTCTGGGTTCTGACCGACATGAGGCCAGTTAAGCTAGCAACCTGCGTGCAACCCATGCACCCGCAGTTCTAAACATAACGCCGAGACATAACCCTCCCACCGATGAGTCGCGCGGTCTGATGCACTCTCCTGTCAGTGTCTATAGGGTTTGGTGTTCATCGTCGCCGAGAGAGGCAAGCCACAGACGCACGGAGAGCGGCCCCAGTGCCCAGGCTGCCTTGGCTGAGAGTCGTGTCAGCCCAACCGTCGTGGGAGGCGTTCTGTACTAATGTGAGTGTGAGACGTGCAAGAATCCCGCAGAGGGGCAAGGCTTCCGATTGGGGAGGGAGATAAGTGAGCCCTCCCCCATGGGCTCGAGTTCCCAGTTCGGCGCGAGAAGAAACTTGTGTATGCAAGTTCAAAACAAACTGTTTAACGAAGGAATTAAGCATGAAAGGGTAAATCCACAAGCCGCGATACAACATACTGGCTTGGGAGACAGTACGTGAGTGTGGACGTAGCGTGCGTACGTACCTTCGAGAAGAAAAGAGGGGCACTGTCGTTCAGCCCTGTCCACGTCTCCCGTCTTGCCGGATAAGGAAGGCCAGACATCGATACGTGCCGCCCAGACTTCAATGACACACGGACCAGCTTCCCCACAGCATCGACAAGGGTCCACCGTCGATTATCGCTGACCGCCCGGCAGAAACCGGTCTTCCCAGAACTTTTTTTTCTGAGCCTGTGTACATCCTCCCCACTGAAACTGATCGCTGTCGGCAGAATTGAAGCCAGAGGATTTCCCTTCCTTCGACTGCTTTCTCTTTGACATCGCAAGACCACACAACAATTTACCTACACTGAAAGGCCAATTCTATCAAGATGACGGCCACCGGGGAAGAAAAGCCGTTGGACTTCGAGGCGCTGAAGCGTCAGGCGGCGGGCAAAGGTAAGACCTATTCCAAACTTGCGCCTGTCAACCTGGTGATCGATAATGTACTCACCTAGCCTCATGAACAGAAAAGAAGCTCGAGCGTCGACGTGAAATGCGCGAGAAGCGTGCGGCCGCCAGCAAGGAGAAGAAGCTCGCCAAGGCCCAGGCGAAGCGCGAGCGCAAGGCCAACGTCCAGCGCGCAGCGAAATGGAGGGACCCGGTACGCCAGGCCGCCGACAAGGCCAAGAAGGCTGCGCGCAAAAACAACAAGGACGACAAGCGTTTCCACCGCATGCTGAAGCGCGCCGACAAGCTCGAGGCGCAGGCGAAGAAGCTCATGACCGAGGCGGCGAAGGCGCGCGCGCGTCACGCTGTCATGGCCGAGAACAGAGAGGTTAGTGATGGCTGATACGCAGTTGCCGAGAGATGGCGGAGCACGAAGCTGACGACTTGGAATTGCAGAAGGCGGCGAAGGAACAGCAGGCTCAGGTCAAGAAGGCCGAGGACGACGACGAGATTATCAAGATTCACGACGACGAGAGCGATGACGACAGCTCCTCCTCCGACTCTTCATCAGACTCCGAATCGGACTCTGACTCTGACTCTGATTCCTCCGACTCTGACTCCGAGGCGGAGGATGTCGAGATGAAGACCGACTCCCCGGACCCGAGCGCACAGCTCCGCGCGGAAAGCGAGGCAAGGGAGCAGATGGAGGTTGACGTGAAGGAAGAGGAGAAGCCCAAGAAAGAGAAGAAGAGCAAGCGCAAGTCGGATGTTGCCGTCGTTACGGAGGAGGTGAAGGAGGAGAAGGTCGCTGAGGCCGAGATACCCGCCAAGGAGAAGAAGGACAAGAAGAAGAAGGCCAAGAAGGAGGAAGTGGTCGAGGAGGAGCCCAAGAAGAGCAAGAAGTCCGACAAGAAGCGCAAGCGCACAGAAGAGGAGGACGACGAGTCGGATGGTGGTGCTCCTCTCGCCGAAGAGACCCCGAGCAAAAAGGACAAGAAGAAGAAGAAGAAGGCCAAGAAGGAAGAGGAGGAGGAGAAGACTCCTGCGAAAGCCAACGAGGGCGAGGGCTGGGACGTTGATGCTCTCGAGGGAGGTGCCGACCGCCAGCAGAAGTTTATGCGTCTCCTTGGCGGCGGCAAGAAGGGCGCGGCGAACGCTTCCACGGGCACCAAGAGCAAGCGCGATATCAGCAAGGTCAACAAGGAGCTTGAGCAGCAGTTCAACGCTGGTGTGCACATGAAGTACGACGGTGGTGCTCAGCGTCGCGGTCTTGGCGCTTGAGCCCCCTTTTCTAGTAATGGAGCGGCCTCCGATATGTCATACGGTACGAGGACGCGTGATGCGTAGCTGCGGCGTTTTGAGGGTTAAAATACGTACGGTACAAACCGACAGGTAGCCAAAAAGTTTGTAGAATAACTTGAATGCTTTCTTCCACTCGAGGAAGCTGTATGCGAATAAAAATAAAATAACATGAAATACATTGCGCCAAACGGTTTTGCTTTCCCTGATAATGTGTGGTATTTGTACAGACTTGATTTTCCAGCCATCGATGGGCAGGAGAGACTGTGTGTGGGTTCATGTGCCTGAAAAGTAAAAAGCTCCCCTTTTTTCGTCCTCAACGGCGAAGCAAGTGCGTGTTGTGTGTCCGCAGTCTCCCTTGCGACCCCTTACGACGCCTGGTGTAGATGGGCAACGACAATCTGCAAGAAAGAGTAATAGATCTTTGCTGCGACGCTTTTCTCCTCCTCTCGCCCCTTATTGACTTTCCCTCATTCACCGAGGGATGACCTCTTCCAACTTTGAAACGGGCATGGTGTGGTAGGGTCGTTTAGAAACCGAACATGCGGGAGAGGACCTCGAAGACGATGCCGCCAAAGACGACAAAACCGAGAAGGACTGGAAGAGGCCAGACGTTAGCGAAGCTCATGATGTGATGACATAGGCGGGATCGAATTGGCCGCAAGGGTTGCTTCGACGCTCATAGGGCACAACTACTCACTGAGCCAGATGGGAGAAATGGGCGACTTGGGAGTCTCCTTGACGCGCTTCTTGATCTGTTCCTCGGACTTGCCCATGCGGGCCTCGTTGTCCTTGGCGAACTTTGCGTTCGCGCGTCTTTGTTGGGGGGTTTGCGCCTGCATAAAAACCATTATCAGCAAGCCGTCATCTTGGATCTTTGACGAATGTAGAGTTTCGGGAGGATTATATCGTGTGCTGGGATGTTCGGGATCTGCGTACCATTGTGGATTGTATGTGTGTGGTGTGGGTGTTAAGATGGGGAGAGGCGAGAGAAGAGCGGTGATGTCTGGATGCGACTTGTCGGTGTTGCAGTCAATCAGCTCGTCTTATGTACTGCAATAATGCGCAATGGCAGGCAACAACGCTGATCGTGTGAGGTGTGTTGTTCAATGGACCACAAGCTGGAGGAACGTGTCGAGAGAAGAGCAGGGAAGCCGGTTGAAGGGACAGATTGCGCGAGGGAGCTTTGGCACCTGCAGGTGGTTGAAGCTAATGTACCTACCTCCAATTCGTACAGTGTAATTAAGCGGCAGAAAGATGGCCTTGCGACGACGGGCCTGGGAGAGGGGGACATTACCTTTCGCCCTTCAGGACCTTCCCAAGTGGTCCCGGGCTCTCTCTGCCTTACACCGTCGTACCCACCCCAGTTCGGGACATGTGTCGTCAAAAGGGAATTCAATTACGGGGGCCACCTGTTCGGTGCCAGGGGTGCCGAGCCCAGCTTTCAGCATCCAATCCAACCCGGCGCTACCGCTACTGCGAGCTTGGGGGCCACATTTCAGGTGTGCGGCGCGAGTTCCTGCCACAGCGGGAACGCGGACAGGGAGCGCGTCTACCAAGTGAGATAGGTACCTTACCTTGGTTATGCGGGGTGGGATCGTTGGCGCGCACCGCCACAGATCGGCGCAGCGGCGCATTCAATTGAATCTTTTGATCGGGCAACGACACGGCGGTATACTGCACTTTTACGACAACGAGAACCGACGACACGATATCTGACGACGACTCGATTCGAACAAACAAAACAGATTGGGCGGAAGGATATTGGAAGAAGCCGAACACAACCAGAAATCACCACCAATATGGCGTCGCGCAACGGCGCAGCGATCCTCAGCAGAGCCCTCCGCGCGCAGCGCACACCACAACTGCCCCGCGCAGCACTCCGCTCCTACTCAACATCAGAAAGTGGCGAAAAGAGGCCATCGATAGTGGTAAGGTTGCTTTGCATCGCGCGGCCAGGCCCATTCCCATCTCAGAGCCCTAACACCGTCGCCGACAGGGCACCTTTTACAAGACCTTTACGAGACCCGTCCTCAAAGTTCTCTTGATGGCAACCCTTACATATCAGGTCGCCTACTGGGGCTGGACGACGCTGGAACAGAACGAGATCCGCGAAGAAAAGAAGAAGGAGATTGAGAGCCTCGAGGCCAAGGTCGCCGAACTGCAGACGAGCAAGTAGGCGGATGGGAGCAATAGCATGAAACCAAAAAGCATCTCTCATGAAATGTGATAGCTAGTAAGAGGGGAGGAACTCATGCCTGAGTACCTAGGAATACTCGTCATTACCAGCTGAGAATCCAAGATGCCGAGATTATGGATTCTTGAGTCTATGCAGGACATCCACAGGTCGCAAAGGATCAACACCTTATGAATGTGCAGGGTCTGGTCGCATCAAGTTACCCTGCCCGCCCTGAAAAACGGGAAAGACGGCATGACGCAGAGAGGACCAAGGGTATTGAGATATCTCGGTTATAACTCTTCTATACTGTTGTGTGGATGCCACAGATGGTCTACATATCTCTTGAATCATTACAGATCCATCAATTTACGCACCTCCCAAACAGACCCATGCCTTTCCAACGCCGATGCCATGCAAAACTCCAAAAAAGAAACATCATTACACTGTACCGTCGTGCCCCCGGTTACCCCATACATATTCGGCCGTCACTCTACACAAACATAAAGCATGTCTTGCATCGGTACCTCAACACATCTAGTCATCACAGCATGACTGTACCTAGAGTTCCTAGCACGAGGAATCCAAGCAGGCCCCAAGACACGGCTACTATTGCTGAAGCAGAGGGATTGTGGACCGCGCCGGGGTAATTGCATGTTAAGCCATCACCTTGAATAGCGTAGCTGGAGTTGAAGATGTCGTCGTCCGGCCCAGGGCAGTTGAAGCCCAAAGACGCAGGGCAGCTCTGTACCAAGTCGTAGCAGAGATAGTCGCATGGGAGGATCTCCCGATACGGTCCCGGCGCCACCATCTCGTCGATGAGAGGGTTCCTCGAGTGCTGGAAAACCCGCTTTTCGTATTTGCTCAATTGGTCGATCGGAAGAAGGGTGCCATTCGGGAAAGATTGGTTTACGTTCCGTACCAGTGAGAAGTTGGCCTCTGCAGCAGTGAAATCCTCGCAACGAGGGATCGTGACAGTACAGAGCCACTTCTTGTAGGCGATCTCGCAATCCGTACAGTTTCGAGCAAGTGAATACCGCTGGACGTCCGGTGCTTCACAGGCAACTTGCGCAAGCTGTTTCTGGAAATTGCCGTACATTTCCTTGGCGTAGTTGTCATAAAACTGCGCAAGTTGAGTGATGTTCATCTTGTTCGAGTTTGCCGGGACGGCATACTCCGTCTCGTTGCAGAATTGTAGGTCAGTGATGATCTTGCAATTTTCGCCTGGTAACACGTCAGTGTGGTTTAATATTTGGAAAGCAGACAGACATACCGTCTTTGGTTTCAAACGGTGTCGCTTGGAACACTCGCCCACCACTGCCCGAACTGCCGCCTTCTTGTCGCTTCTTCGATGTCGAGTTGCCGGTGTGAACGAGGATGCCGTTGTAAAAGGCACTTGCGTTGAGGCCGTTGAAGAAGAACTGCTGCTTCGGCAGATTGCCCGCGCCTCTCGTGGTCATCACAGTACTGGCCAGATTCCCAAACTTGCCACCCGTCTTCGCAGCGATTTGAGCGTAATTTTCCAAACCACACATGGAGCGCCGAACACCTTTGGTGGTGGGGTTGTCTCGATTCTCGACAAACATGATGAACGGCGGGCTCTGCGCCATGATCTCCTCGATGAGGGTATCATTGTGGGTATCGGTCAAATTCGCAGTGGTCAAGAGAGCCGCACTGGAATCACTGTCAACCCACAGGAGTTCGGAAGGGTTCTCGTCGAATTCGTGGAAATATCCGTCCGTCGATGCTGCGACGTCAAAGTTCCAGTCCCCAGTGAACTTCTCCGTATCCACCCCGGGAGCTGCAATCCCAACGAAGACGTCGCCTGTCGCGTTGACCGTCAAGAACGCGGCGCCCTCTTCGAGTATCTCTACTGTTTGCAAGGACGAATTTTGCCCGGGGCCGGGTGACTGATTGTCCTTCGACGTAGAGACGTACATGGTAATCTGCGGGGGATCCGAGCCGGTATTATTGGCTCCATGGCGAGGTTGAATGCACGTCGTTGCAGAAATGAACACCTTCCTGCCCTGAGCCTGCTGTCGGCGACGTAGTCCAACATTGTCCTCTGCGTCTAAAAGCGCGTCACCCGTTCCAGCCAAATCATCTCCTGGGCCACCGGAGCCATTGCCCTTCTCGCGCGGTTCTACGACAAAAGCATCGTCGGGCGTGTTATCAAAAAAGTTTGCGAACACGGAGATAGCCTCGAATACGAAGCTTTGCGTCGAGTTTGCCTGAACGTTGCGGTTGATCTTGACATTGTTCACCAGTGCGGTCACTCCAGCGGGCGCCCTTCCAATGATGCTGCGGTCAAAAGCGGCGAATTCCGGCTCGTAGGCAGGTTCTAATTGGCTTCGTCTTTCGAGCGCATCGTCGGCTTCGATGGTGTCCAGAATGGGGTCGAATCCTTCGCTCAATTCTGCGGCAAGCGCAAAAGTGGGAGTGGAAAGCAAATAGTAGATGAGTAGTAGCAGCAGCGACGCAATCAGCGAGGCCGCCAGTCGCGATTGCAGTGGGCTGAGCTGCATTGTGAGGACATGCCCTCCAGGGGCAGATGCCTTTGAAGTTTGGGCGACGCGGCGGTTCGTCGTGGTGTCGGTTATCGTGTCTTCAAACGGGGACAAAGGTAGGGTCGATAAGCGCAAAGCGTGTCGAATGGTCGCTCTCAGTGGTCGCAAATTGGCCGAGTCCTCCACTTCATTCCATCACCATGCGTCTAATCGATCAGCGAGTGTCGTCGAGCGGCTTTTCGAACGAGGGGAAAGCCACGAATTCGGTTAGATCTCGGGAGAGACCGTCGAGGGGAAACGAGAAACGGAGGCCGGTGAGGTTGAGGCGGGTAGGGTGAAGGGCGGCGGATTTGGGACAAGTGAAAAAGGTGCCTTTGTCGTTTTAGGGAGTTTCACATCCCAAACAGCTGAGAGGCGGCGTGGACCTTGCATTCCCTGGCGCCCCAAGCCTCTGAACCGGGCACGACACGCTGGAGATCACCCCCGGGCCGGCTGAGGTAACCCATCGGGCCCTTCAGGCAGGGCAGTCAAGGCTCAGGGGCCCCAGTAGTGTGGGGGACCCCTTTCCGCGTCTCGGACTGCTCGGCCTGTTCACTGGGGCCATCCTCGCCTACGCAGAGAGGTCCCTGAAAAACATACCCCCATGTCCTCCCAAGGCTAAGGAACGGAACGGGTTGAGGTGTTGCGGTCGGCATTCTGATCGGTCTTCATCTTCTTGGCATCCATAGTCACCAGCGGCTGGCCACTGACCAGAGTTCACGCTACACCACTTCGAATGCTGGCAGGCGTGCACAGGATGGTCCAGCCAGTCTTTCGAACTGCCGTGTCTGTACCAGACAGGCAAGAAAAGGGGAAGATACGGTCTGACAGGAACGCTGCATCTTCGGTCGTCATTGCCATACCCAAATGTCGTTCGGGTAATGGGCGTCAATTCCAACATATTTCGGCGTCAATGGGGCAACAAAATGACAGTGGGCAGCAGCACCAGCTAGTTCTCAAACACCAGTAATGCTCGAATAATCGTGCCAAATACAGCCCCCACAGCCCTGGCTTGCGCTTAGGTTGCCAACGACAGTTAAGGTAGATGTCGAACACGGGAGAGCAGCACTGGCATGCGGCAAAAGCCAGGCCCTGGCGATTAAACGCCTGACGCTCACCCGACTTCCCTATTTCCCCGAGGGCACTCAAGTCTTCCAGTTGCCCAGGACAAAGAAACATGTCGTTTCTCGTGTGTCTCTTTGTCTCTGAGCCACAACTGTCAAATCGAGACACTCGTCACATGTCTCTGCCGGCCTGCTAATCCAACGGATCAAGAACTGATAACGGGCTCGCTTGTCACACGATGCTTTAATCACATGGGGTACTCTCTAGTCCATTTCAAAGTCAATGACTCCGTATTCCGTAGCGTACAGATACTTTATCTGGGTGACAGGAACTTATCCAACCGTTCCGTCGCGGCCCTCGCGTTCCCGGGCCCTCGACCAAACCTGAAAAAGCCATCACCGTTGTCACGTGTATGGTTATGACAGCCTCTGAACCCCATCCCGTCATGTTTGTGCCTTGCGTCGCTGCTTCATGTCCTTTTGACTGGCTAGCGAATGCAACCGGGATGAGCGGGCTAGCTCTTTATTCGTCGTAGGTGGATCTCTCAAGGCAATCGACCTGCTTAATGAGCTGGCGCTATTGCGCATTTACTCGGCCTTGCCAGCCTGGGCGCGGAGGCCGGAGGCAGTGGAGCCAGTGAAGTACTTGGCAAGCATGGGAGAGAGGAAGGAGTTGAAGACGATGTCGGCGCCGCTGTTGGTTATTAGTGGTTGCCAAATCGGCTCGGAAGGGGCGGAACGTACCGGAAGACGGGCAGAGACAGCCACAGGAGGAAGACAAACTTGAAGGTGAAGTAGAAGGGGAACCAGTAAACGACGTTGACAAGGCTCTCAGCAACGCTGTATCATCTCGGTTAGCTCGAATTGTTCGTCAAGGGACAAAGAATACTGACGTGAAGAAGGCGAAGACGACCCAGTACTAGAACAACGGTCAGTAAGTTTGGCGCTGTGACAATTGCGGGGGAGATATTTGTGGACATACAGTCAGCCACTGGGTGTCGTCCTGCTTGTTCGCAGTGAACAGGGCGTTCAGGGAGTAGTAACCGGGAATGACGAAGCCGGCAATGTTGGTCAGAAGCTGACCGCCGAGGTTGAAGACGATGAGGAAGAAGTAGAGGGCGGCAACACCGACGACGGCGTAGGCCTTGGGGACGTTGGTCTGCTTCTCGAGGTTGTTAAGGGCGGGGTACTTGGACAGCTACCACACACGGGAGTCAGCGCATGATTGTCGTGCAATCCGAGCAAGATGCAGGGGAAATTTTACCTCGCGATCGAGCTGACCGATGTAGTTCTGAACGCGATCCTGAGCAGACATGTTTGCGATTTACGGCGAAAAGCTGTGTCGAGCAAGAGAGCTGTGCGTTAATGGGCTGTGATAAGGGTTAGGACAGGACAAGACAAAGAACGGCGAGGCCAGGTTGCAGGATCCAAGGACCCTGGCAAGCGAAGGACTCGATGCAGATCGGAAGAGGACGGATACGCACAGTACTTCGGGGTGGTAGGCGAGAGTAGTGGTAAGCAAAAAAGGCTTGGAAGCTATTGGCGATGTTAGACGAACAAATGTCTAGACGGGAAATTTGGAGTGTATGGGGTTGAATGACCTTGAGTATTTGCGTTGGAATTAGCAGGTGAAAGGGAAAGGTCCTGGATGACGACGTAACGTGTGCAGATCTAAGCCAGCAGGAATGGCACCAGGTGCCCTTGCGTTCAGAGCTTCTCTCGCTCGGGGCTAAAGATGGGGTTTCTTGGGAGGGGCACAGGCGCGAGACGAGAGGCGAAAGCGGGGAGCACACACAGCAAGCACAGAAGACAGCACAGCGCAGCACGGGCAGAACAGCGAGGTAGCACGCAACGATAGACTCTGGAGATCCAGAGGGAGGGATGAGGGACGCAGAGACACACCTAGAGGGCACAGTCACCCGCCGTTCAGCAGGTGTGTTGTGGTAGGTAGGTTCAGCTTGGGCAGCATTGCTACTACCTATGGAAGGAACGGTAAATATCACCGGTATTGCAATGTCTATTGCCATGTACATCCAAACAACCCGCACAGCAACAGCGTCGTCTTCGTAACCACCCCGCCCGCCAGACTTTATGTGCCGATGAAAAAATGCCTTGGGGATCCATGTCTTGGCTGTTAGCGGCTACTTCTGAGCCTTTGGCTCGAAGGGTGTCAGATTCCGTGATTCCTCAGTGCTCTGCTATGCTTTGCTTGGGTTGGTGCTGCCGAGCGATAAGATAAGCACTTCATGTCCATGCCTTTCCTGCTTGCTTGAGGACTTTGCACACAGCAGACAGGTGGGTCCTGCGAAGCGGCTTACCTAACACGTGGGCGCCTTAAGGCCAGCAAGGACTGCGACAAAACACAGAGGCACTGGAAGGAACACTAGGTACGAAGCGGGCGTGGTGGGGATCATGGATGGTCTTGTTTTGCTGCCTGACCTGCCAGGCGTCCTAAGCTGTGTCAAGCTTCAAAGCAGTACGGCCCCTGATTGGCTCGTCTGACGGTTGTTTTCCCGCCATGGAACAAAGCACGCACCTTCGACACACTGGAGGGACGCCAAAAGACGGAGGGGAGAGAAAGACATCCATGTATTCCCCCACATCGTCAGCATCGGCCAATCGAAAAACAAAACAACAAACTCGGAGCTACGACTCACGTGACTCCCAGCCAGTGTTTTCGGTGTTTCCAGCCACAGGCTAGCGTTGTCGAGACGACAACGTTTTGTCGTTTTGTCGGCAATCCTAAACAAACCCATCCATCCACACTTCCCCCGACCATATCCTTTATATCGACGCTCTCACCACAGCGCACCGCGCTTTTCCACCCTGCAGGGATTCGGATTGCTTTGCCGACTTCGACTCCTCCTTTTCTGCAACCTCATCTCTGTCCACTTTCTCTGCACGGCGCACCTTGCTTTCTTTCATTGTTTAGGGAGCCTGTCCTGCATGACCGTGTGTTGTTTTCGTCGCATAACAACAACTGCCAACGACAGAGCTGACGGATTATGGATCACGGTACGATCAACAACCCTTTTCATGCTCCTCCACGTCGAGAGCACGATTCTGCCATCTCTCTCCCGCTGATCACAAATGTAAACAGACCATCTCGCCCAAGCTCTGAGGGCCAAGAAGAGACCTCAATCCCGTGCTTCAACTGCTTCCGTTCACAGCATCTCCACCCAGCCGACCATGGAGCAACAATCCTTCGCCGACGCGCCCGAGCTGTACTCTGCACAATGGGTCAACAACGATCAACGACAGCAGAGGAATCTCGCACCCGCGTCGCGGATAACTCCGGAGGAGCAGATGATGCTCCACGCCGCACAACACATGCACAACGCCCGCGATTACTCAATGTCCATGAGCCAGTCCAGCGCTGCCATGACCCATTCCATGTCATTCCAACAACACGCCATGCCTCGCCATCCTTTACCCTCCGAAAGCTTCGCCAACAACAGCTTTACCGAAGATAGCCAGCTGATGGACCGTGACGACGAAGACTCCATGGCTGGAGCCATGGGCATGCAAAAGTCTAGCTCTGCCAGATCTAGTGCCAACAACGAATTGGAAATGCGTCACCTCTTCACCGCCAACAAACACCGTGGCCTGCAAGATGTTGCCAAGGAGCTTCACGGCAATGAGCGAGGCCCCAATTCCGAACGGACCCGACAGGTATTCGCCATGCTCTGGATCAACTCGGTATGCTCCAAGGGTAAAGGCTCCGTGCCTCGCGGCAGAGTCTATGCCAATTACGCGTCTCGATGTGCCACCGAGAGGATCACCGTCCTCAACCCGGCCAGCTTCGGTAAACTCGTCCGCGTCCTTTTCCCCGGCCTGAAGACTCGGCGTCTTGGTGTTCGTGGTGAATCCAAGTATCACTACGTCAACTTCACTCTGGTCGATGACCAGCCTGACCTCAGAGAGCCAGAGCCTCAGATCCCAATGGCCATTTCGGAACCCAGCCGTTCCCAGAGCTTCAGCGCGGCTCCCACCAAGTCGCAACCTGCTAAAGCCGCTCTTCCCTCGCCAGATGCTGCCAAGCGGCCGGAGAGTCCTGCCCAAGCACCACAGGGTCACTCACGATCTCACAGCTTCTACAGCCATCCGAACGTGACCAGCGCGGATCATCTGAACTCATCCACATCCAAAACATCGCTCCAATTCTCGTTTCCCTCCGAAGCGGATGAGGCCCTCCTCCAGTCCAACGAGCCTCTTGTGCTACCTCGCATGGAGCCCTTCCTACCCAACGGAACTGACCCGGATGCCGCGAAGAGCTTATCTGCCCTGTACAGGTCGCATTGCACCTCACTAGTCGAATGTGTTCGTTACTGCAAGGAGAAGACCTTTTTCCATCTCTACACATCCTTCCAGGGCACATTAACCATGCCGGTGCAGAAGTTGCTTGGCAACCCAGCTCTCGCCCCTTGGATTGAGGAATGCGACTTCATCCTTTACCAGCGCATGCTTAGAATCATCTCCGGGTTGACACTTCAGGTCGTGCCCAAGCCTGTCTTGGACACCTTGCGCAACATTTCAGAGCGCCTCGTGCCTCATATTCGAGACGCTTTCCAGGGACAACCGCACCACGTCATTCGAGCGAAAGAAGCACCGGCAACTATTTTCGCAGCCCTGCTCGACCGCGCGTTGAGAGTCAACCTGACTGCTCACGCAGCAGCCAACATGCTTTCGAACCCAGCCAACCGCGATCAAATGTACCTCGATTGGATCACGATGGTCCGTGTACGCAAGGTCGCCGAATGTGTGCCTACACGTGGCATGGACGATCTCGTCAACCTTTTAGTATCCGAACTTCGCGATCTTCTCAACCCGATGAACGTGCCTTGGGAGGTGGAATGTCTAACGGTTTATGGCGACATTGCTTTGAGGAACGGTCGCCAGCCTGGAGCTGAGGGCACTGCGGACGCGAACGGCCAGAATGTCTTGGAGCGCTGGGTCGGCTTCCTCAAGTCGTTGCCGACACGGTTCCCCTACGCGTCACATACGGAGATTGTTTACTGCGTGCAAAGAGTCGGTACAGCAGTGATGCGGGATCTCACAATGGCTCAGGGCAAGAGCTTCGGCTCTTGGTGGGTAACAAAGTGCTGGATCGATGAGATGACTTGCTTCCTTGCTGAGCAGGGTGGTTTCCTGAACATGAAGACTTCGGGCGCATCAGCGATTGCCGCCAACCCCCAATTGACGGGACAAGAGACGAGCAGGCAAGGATCCCGTTACAGCACGGGGAGCGAAGAGTTCAACTTCTCCAACCTCCCTCAAGCGCAGCCGGACAAGGCGCCATTTCCTCCATCAAACAGCCAGGGACAAGTCGACTCGGCTGGGATGACGGGCGGCAGCAACCCTGACGATAGCGGAATCGGCATCCGCACACCGGAGGAGGACTTCCCCATGGACAAGTACACTTTCTCGCACTCGGAGGTCAACCAAGCACTGCTTGCAAACGCTGAGCTGCAGCAATAACGAAGGAGAGTTGGAATATAGTCGCACCTGGTAAACCAGGTGTCATTTATCGATAGTCATCTGCCAGGCGGCCTCTCGACGGGGCTTGATGCCGGAGGAGGACTGTCGAGTGCAGTGTGATGACGATGGCACGACTGGACGATTGTATGAGCGTGGGAAAAGCTCTTGCCATTTGGTACGGAGTCGTTTATGAGTTCTGCGCCTGTTCTACTAGACCGGGGTTTTGGGTTCTGGATTCTGCTTTGGGTGTTTTGACGTTCCTTTTATGGCGATGAGGACGGCGATGGCATTTGCATTTGGTGCTCGCGGGTTGCTATACCAATTCGTTTCTGGTCCGGGGCATGGGCATTTGATTATACGTTTATCTAGTGGTAATACAACCCGGCAGGGAGAGCATTGAAGAAGAGTTACATGTATCATCCTTCACATTTTACGTTACCGAGTCTTGTTCGGAGACTGCACTTCCAGCGTAGGTGAGAATCTAGCATAATGTTCGCAAATCGTATGGCCCAATGGGATCATAAGCAGAGAGACCTATCAACAAAAAGACGCTGACCACTACGGGGATACCATGGTCAAATGGCCAGCACTTATCTTCAACTGAGGGTATTCATGGGTGCACATATAGCTAAGCTGGTGGGTTCCAATCTTGAGCCTTGCCAGAGGAAGTTGGACAACATCGATTTCCAGCGTTGCGTTGCAGCAGCGTCAAAGGCGGTTATTGAACGGGGCGAGGGACCCCCGTCTGTCACTGTGTAGTGTGCCTCATTCGTCATTGGGTTGTCCCTGATTCGCTACCCCCGCGCGCTGCCGGGATTACGCAACTAAAAGTTTTCTTTGCGAGCGGTTTCATAGGCTGGCTCTTCAGTGTTCACCACAGCCTGCAGGTGGAGTGGCGGCCAGAGACTGCGAGGAGGCTTAAACATCAAAAGGTACCGGACTTTCGTTCTGCCCCGTGGGGGGTGTTGGACAGGAGAGAATTAGAGACTCAGGATGCATTTTGGACACGGCTGCCAAACGGCAGAAGGGGCTGGATATGCCTCTTTGCAGAGGCTGGGCTGGAAATTGCAGCAACAGAAGAGTCAGTAAGCTTATGCGTATGACTCAGACAAAGAAATTGTCACGGATAGAGGCTGCCACGGATAGACTGCCCAATTCAGATTCCTCGGTCCTGTTCTTGCATGAGGAATAGCTGTAGACGGCTTGCAGGTTGTATTTGCAGCGGTTGTAACAACGGCATCAAGGGCTACTCGACTAGGAGGAAATGCAATACAGGCTTGCGCAGTCCCCGGGTAGGGCGACGAAAGTGAGCCGTCCTTCAGAGCAAGGCCCTCTGTATTTGTTCGGCAAACTTTGAGCAGCAGGCAGCGCGGCACTGGGTCGGTAAGGTATTGAAGATTCGGGCCCGCCTCCGATAGTCCGGAAGCGCAAAATCTGGTAGCTGCGACTTGGACAGGCGTCGCCGATTTCGTCGCTGTGCTCCACATCCCACTTTCGTCCCATCTCGGTCACCTTGGGTCTAGTCCAATTCAATTCAATCCACCGCAACACTTCTTGAAGCTGTTTATCCCACCACCGTTGACATCCTCAACTTTTTCTCTCACCTACTTGTCCAAACTACCTGAAACATTGCTGCTGCCTCACACGCAAATCTCACCGAAGATACTTGCTCGAGGGTTGACGACCCAGTCCAACCGTCGCCATTCATTTTTCTGATCTGTTTTTTCCCGCACTTTACGGACCACAGCGCCCCTTCCCCGCGACCCTGTGAGTAGAGTCATACTCGCTCAAACACCAGCCACTCTTGCGCCTGCACATTGCAATTGAGGCATCATGAGTAGCCAACCCATAGCAAACACTTCCAGCAATGGCTGGGTGGTGCAAAAGTTTGGTGGCACCAGCGTGGGAAAGTTTCCCGACAAGGTATTTCTCAGTCTGAATCGTTACTATTGCTGCAAAAGCTGACTCGATGTGTGTCCTTATAGATCGCCACGGATATTGTCCGGTAAGACGGAACATCCGCGTGTGAAATGAAGGCTCCTACTGACTTTGATAAGAGCGAGCCTCGCTAAGAACAAGGTCGTTGTCGTCTGCTCGGCAAGAAGCACGGGCAAGAAGGTTGAGGGCACCACCAGCCGGTGAGTCACTCAGCGTGCCAGCCGATCCTAGCTTGTTCACTGATTTTGGAAGACTCCTGGGCGTGTACAACAAGCTCAAAGGCATCGCAGCTGCCACGAATACCGAGGAGGTTCAGAATGACCTCATGAGCCAGGCCAGAGGTCTAATTGACGACATCACTAATGACCACGTTTCTGCCGTCAAGACCTTCATCAAGAACCCAGAACTGCAGGCATCACTGGACCAAGAGATCCGGGATGAGTGCCAAGAACTGGTTGAATACATCGTGGCGGCAAGGAGATTTAACCTCGAAGTGAACGCGAGATCGAAAGACAGATGCATCAGCTTCGGCGAGAAGCTCAGCTGTAGATTTATGGCCGCGTTACTGAAAGATCTGGTGAGGAAACTGCCCATTTCTGCGTCATGAGAGTGAGGCTAATTCTCTCACAGGGTGTCGCTGCAGAATATGTGGACCTCAGCGATGCGTTCCACTATGATGCCTCCTCTCGCCTGGATCAGAGCTTCTACCAAGAGGCGGCCACCGTACTGCGGAAAAAGATCTCGGCATGTGAAGACAGAGTGCCGGTCGTTACCGGGTTCTTTGGCAATGTCCCGGGCAGCCTGATTGACGGCGACATTGGCCGTGGCTACACTGACCTCTGCGCAGCCCTTTGCGCAGTCGGCCTCAAGGCGGATGAGCTGCAGGTGTGGAAGGAAGTTGACGGAATCTTCACTGCGGACCCCACCAAAGTTCCCACGGCGAGGTTGCTGCATTCCATCACCCCGTCCGAGGCGGCGGAGTTGACATTCTACGGCTCCGAAGTCATCCACCACCTCACCATGGACCAGGTCATCCACGCGTCGCCCCCTATTCCCATCCGCATCAAGAATGTCAAGAACCCGAGAGGAGTTGGAACCATTGTCATTCCCGACCCCATTCTCACGGCTGGCCACCAGATCCAGCGTTCCAAGCCCTCAGATCCTTCTCTCATTCAGAAGCCCAAGAGGCCAACAGCCGTTACCATCAAGGACAAGATCTCCGTCATCAACGTCCACTCAAACAAGCGCTCCATCTCCCATGGCTTCTTCGCGAGAGTCTTCTCCATCCTGGACAAGAACCAGATCTCGGTTGATCTCATCTCCACCAGTGAGGTGCATGTTTCCATGGCTATCCACGCTGGAAACTCAGAGGGTGGCAGCTTCGACAGGGCACGGAAGGAGCTGGAAGACTGCGGCGATGTCAGCGTTCTTCACGACATGGCTATCCTGAGTCTGGTCGGTGCGGAAATGAAGAACATGATCGGTATCGCCGGACGCATGTTCTCTACACTAGGAGAGCACAATGTCAACTTGGAGATGATTTCACAAGGTAAGCCTATCCCGAGACAGGTCTCACGATGTTGTTATTGACTTTGAATGTAGGTGCCAGCGAGATCAACATCTCTTGCGTCATTGAGGCCCGGGACGCCACCCGCGCCATGAACATTCTGCACACAAATCTGTTTACTTTCCTCGATTAGACTAGTTGTGTCTTTGCATAGTCATGGAGCGAGACATGTCCTTTTGGATCAAGGTATATAGACACACTTCATTCTCGTATGGGGATATTTTGATTGGAGCACAAGTTTGCATGTTGGATTCAGGGAAAACAGACAGGAATGTAGAGCATGGTTTGGAAAATGCAAGACAACCTTGATTGACACCGATACGTCCAACACCGATTTTTGTGCAACGGTCCCGAAGTTGGGGTTGTTTCTCCATCATTCACGGATCAGTATACATCAGGAAGTGACCAATCATTCAGTATTTCTATATAGAGATGTCAGGAGATCATTATCCAGTGTTATGTTATCCATGATTCGAGATCTTGCATCGCCGGCCAACACCCCAGTAACCGCACTTAGGTGAAGGTAAATATTTACCAGTCGAGGCCGAGGTCGGCGTAGTGGGGTACAGTGTTGGGCAGACTCGTCGCACACCGTACAGCCCCGCCACCAGACCCCTGTATTTCCGATAAGATAAGCAGCTAGAAGGATCCACCGTCAACACCAACCGTCTTGGATTGTCACGTCTTTCTTTGCGATCACTTCCTAACCTCAACTACACCATCAAGCAAAACGTCGACCCCTAAATCCTCAACAAGGACATCAACTGCCGAATTTTCGACCAAACCACTTCCTATACTCTGCGACATATTCAAATAAACACTCCTCACGAACCCCCCCAAAAAATCGCCAAGATGCCGAAAGCAGAGGTCGGGTCGGTCAAGTACCTGAACAACAAGATGAAGATGAAGGGCCTGCAACGCCTGCGATGGTACTGTCAGCCCTGTGAACGTCAAATGAGGGATGAGAATGCGTTTAAACAGCATTGTCTATCCGAGTCCCACGTCCGGCAGCTCATCCTCGTGGGCGAAGACCCCAAGAAGTTCCTCAACGAGTACAGCAACCAGTTCCTCCGCGACTTCCTCCAGCTCCTTCGCACCGGCCACGGCGAGAAGCAGGTCCAGATAAACCACTTTTATCAAGAGTACATCGCCAACAAGGAGCACGTCCACATGAACGCGACGAAATGGCCCAGCTTGACCGAGTTTGCGAAACACCTGGGAAGGGAGGGTATCTGCCGTGTCGAGGAGACGGATAAAGGCATTCACATCTCCTGGATCGACAACTCACCCGAGGCGCTGAAGAGACAGGAAGCACTCCGAAGGAAGGAGGCGCAGGATCGAGGAAACGAAGAGGTCGAGCAGATGATGATCCGGGAGCAAATAAAGCGCGCGCAGAAGCAGGCTGAGGCGAGGGGGGAGAAGGAGGAGAAGGACGACGAAAAAGAGAAGGGACTGCAGCGCGCTGAGGGGGAGAAGATATCGCTGTCGTTTGGGGCGAAACCCAAGGCTGAGCCCTCCAAAACCGAATCCCCTGACGCGTCTGGGTCCACGACGCCTCCGGTAGCGGCAGAAAAGCCGGCGGAGAAACCTGCGGACAAGCCTTCATTAGGCGGCATTTCACTTAAGATGACGGCCAAGCCGGAGAAGAAGAACGTCTTCGCGCAAGCCAAGAAGAATGCACTGGCTGGTGGCGCGAAGAAATCGGCTTTCGAGCAGCCCAAGAAGATGAGCGAGGCCGAGAGAATCATGAAAGAGGACATGGAAAGGATGGAAAGGAAGAGGCCGAGGGAGGGTTCCGGGTTTGGAGGGTTCTCGTTTAAGAAGCAGAAGACGGACCAACGGTGAGACGTCATGAATTCACCGCGTTTGTTTTAGGGGCGGACCGGCGTTTTGGGTTGAGGACTGCGGCATCATATCATACAACGGACAGGATATGTTACAGTGCGATTTCAGATACCATTGCGAATTGATTCATCTAATATGAGTCTTGCCTTGACTCCATGCCGACCTTCTTAATTTCCCCTAAACGCCGAATACCAAGTATAATGATTCCTTTTCTTTCTTTCCCCAACCCGATTACTACGTCCTTTAGTTATCAACCTCGGTCTCCGTTCCATCGCGTCTGAAAAAAATCAGTCAGTATATAGTTCCACCAAATGCCCTCCGGGAACAGAGAGCAGCAGCCTCGTGCACATACGGGATGTAGCGTATCCTATACTCCTCCTCGAGCGTCGTCCGAATCTCGTCGGGGAGCTGGCCAGACACCTTGATGGCGTAGACGCCGCGGACGTAGTTGTCGAGGCGCTGCCACTTGGCGACCCAGGAGCGTCCTGGGTCCTTGAGGGAGATGAGGCCCTCGAAGACCTGGGACGTGCAGCTCTCGATCTGGTCCTGCGAGCCGGCGAGGTGGAGGAACTCTTCGCAGTTGGGGCAGCCTTCGTCACGGAATTTCTGGGAGAGGGAACATGACGTTAGCTGGGATGCTTTTTTTCTCATTGCGACGGAAGTCGCCATTGTCGTTTTCTCTTTTTTTCGAGGTGGCTAACGTACGGAGTAGGTCAGGACGATGGAGCAGACCATGCAGGCGCGTAGGTAGCGCTGCTGGTTGGGGTTGACGTAGTTATCACTCGACATCTTGGCGAATCGGCGGGTTGAGAACGGAGAGACTCGCGGGTAGGAGGAGAGCAGATCGTGTTCGTCGTGAAGGTGTCGTCGCGCTCGAAGCTGGCTTTCTCGATGGGAAGTTGGAGGCGGTAGTCGGCTTCACTTGGGGATCCAACCACCTACCTAGTTGCATATGCCTTTAAGGGGGCGCTATGTCTTTCGACGGCGGACCCACCTCAGGGACCCTGCAGGCCTACCCACGCCGCGAATCAAAGTACATCACTCATCCTGGGGTGAAATTCTCCAAGTCGACTTACAGCACCTCATCTCATCGACACTTGCGCTTGCAAGCTTACAGCAACACTTCTTGAATCTCAACCATATCTCATTTGGCCTTTCAACATGGCGACACAAAGCTCAGAAATCCCAACGAGCACGCCGCGTGCGACCAGCCAAAAGTCTCACGAGCTTCTCACTTGCACCATCAAGACCCCACCATTCTCTTATGCTCAGTTGGAGCTCGTCTCTGACGCATCACGGGTTTCCGATGTCACTCCCCTGGACAACTTGCAAGTGAGATCTTATTGCAGCTCCGCCCTGCGTCAGTTCCTGGGCGCCACCGGTTCCGCCATCCCCATCGATATCCTCAAAGTCGAAGACAGAGAATGCTGGGTGCGAGTACCCCGTCAAGACCTGAGCCCTTTCGCAGCGGCCATTACCGCCTGGGCGGGTGTTTCTGAACAGGGCTACCGGCGGACGCTCCGAGTGAAGCAGTGTTCCGACTATCTAGGAGCTATGGTTGGTGCAAACGGCCAGGACAAGCTCTGGACGTCTTGAACATGATGGAGGGGGTTAAGCCACACGCCCAAGCGTCAAATTATTCTAGACTTCGGGTATGGTTATCGATTGCAGACAAAAACTCCGTTTATCCGCATGGCCAAATCCCACGCTTCCAGCCTGCCCCCTATATGCGCCGATCACATGCACCGTTTATGCAGCGGATGCAGATATACCACATTGTATCCCCGGAACGACCGTCCGTTTTACGTCAATTACATCAGAGACGACATCAGAGAGCTCTGGGCGTATGCCTGGAAGACAGTCAGCGACGAACCAAGCAGGGGTGTTGCGCAATGCTTACCATGGGCTTGATATCCGGGTGAGGTACGGCATCAAACTGGTTGAACTGCAACTTGTAGTCGGGGCCAATGTTGATATAGGCTCCCCGGTTCTCGGTGGAATCGCAGTATTTGGGGGCGGAGAAGACTGTAACGATTAGCCTCGAATGCACTTCATTAGATACCAAAAGAACTCACCAGTAATGCAACGTCCGTCGTGCTGCACCTCGTATCCGTCCATGCGGACTTCGTGACTGCGAATGACCGCCTCGAGACCGTTGTTCTCGCAGAACTGCTTCGTAACATCGGGTCCGAATTGCATGCCAACGCCACGCTTGCTCGGACCACGGCCAGGCTCGTCCTGAGGATCCGTCCACAGCATCTCCATCATAAGACCGGACTGGCCAGGCTGGCGCTGGGCGTGCCTGTCGAGCTTGCGGATATCGTCCAAAGTCACCTTGTCGTCCGAGAACAAACCACCGTGCAGGACAAGGTACTTGGTTCCGATCAGTGTGGCAAGGGGCAGAGCTGAGAAACTCTCAGAGAACAGCTTAAAGATTCTGCGATTGTCAGTGAGTGCGACTCATAAGAAGTAACGAAAAGCACATACCTCTCGTTGTACTTAGCCTTGCACTCTCCCTCAAAGCCGTACACTCGGTTCATGTCGTCTGTCTCGTGGTTGCCACGGTTCAGGAAGAAACCCTTGGGTCTCAGCCACTTGTAAGCGTAAAGCAGGAGAGCGATCTCGGTTGACCAAGATCCACGGTCGACGAAGTCACCGTTAAACAGGTAGTAGTGCTTGTCATTCGGTGTTCCGTTCAAGCGGAACAGTTCCATCAAATCGAAGTACTGGCCTACACATGGGTTAGCCCGAAGCTCATCAACACTGTGGTAAGATAGCTTACCGTGAGTGTCACCGCAGACGGTAAGCTGAACACCCTCAGGAACCTCCATCTCCACCATGGTGGGCTCGTCATAGACGAGCTTCTTGACGGCCAGAATGATCTGGTATACGTATTTCCTGTGGATCTTCTTGCCAGTCTTGAACCTCTCTGTCATGTCGTCAATGAACTCCTGCGTCATCTCGCTTCCCAATCTGACACCATCATAGTCTGCCTCGACGTTGATAGAATCAACGTCAAGACCCTCCGCAGCCGACGGCTCGTCGCCGACTTCAATGGCAGCATAGAAATCCAACTTGCGCACAATCTTTTTGCACTCATCCAACTTGAGCTTGGCATCCTTGTTATTCGGGTCGAGCTTTATGCATTCCTTGAAGTCTACAAGGGCGTCCTTGGGCCTGAGAATGGCTGTGTGTGCAAGACCTCGACGGAAGTATGCCTAAGGCGACGGGACGTCAGCATCGGGCTGTTTATACCGGGTGCCTGCTGGCAAGAGGCACGAACTTTGACAAACTTGGGGTTCAGCTCGATCGCTTTCGTACAATCCGCAATGGCATATCCGTAAGCTTCGGACTTGAGGTTTGCCTGCACCGGGACGAGAAATGGTCAGTCACACGAGCAACTTCGAGATGCAGGGCCTGTCGCAAAGGGAGGGGGCGGGGCAAACCTGGGCGCGGTTCGTGAAGAATGTGGGCTCCTTGTCGTTCAACTCGATGGCTTTGGTGTAAAACTCAATGGCAGTGGGCCAATCGTGGGCAGAAAACGCCTTGTTGCCCTGGTTCTTGAAGGCCACGGCCTGCTCCTCCGGAGTCGACATGGCGGCAACAGCAGCGCGGACTTGGTGCAAATGGTAAAGCAAGTGTGGGGTAGTTTATCGTGGCGAAGAGGCCTCGAGACGCTCTCTGAATCTGTCGCCCGCGGACTATTGGGAGTAGAGTGCGGTTTACGAGTGCGACACCGAGTTCGACGCACACAGCGAGAAAGGAAGAGAGAGGGAAGGGGCGTAATCGGCGAAGTTTTCGGCCTGCGGAAGCTCTTAGAAGGTTGAAGTTCCGGGGGACCAAGTCAAAAAGCTTCCTTTCGCGACGGTTCGGCCCTTAAACCCTCTTCGGAGCTAAGGTAACAGAAACAGTGCGGTACAACGCTGTGTTACTGCACCAAGCGATACGCTGAGCGCAACTGCGGGGCGGCTTTCAGTTGCCACTTCAGGATCTCGACAGGGGTTCAGGAGGGCCAGCTCCGGGCCTAGCCCCTCCATTACCCTCAGCTTCCTAGTTGGCAGTTGCCACTGAATAGCACGGGCATGGATTTGGACGGCTTTAGCGGGTGGCGCCTCGGTAGCTGCATACCTACCTTCGAAACCTTTCAGGGTCCCTAATCAGGCTTATCTTTAATCGGCTCCACGTCATTTCGGGACTGAATGCGAGCGCGCCAGTATTATCCTGCGAACCTCGCTGACTTGCAACCCGACAGCCTCTGCATGGCACTTTTTCACTACCCACGGTCTGTCGAGACACCCAAAGTCGGCGCGCTCGCCTAGCAACAACCGAACGTCACGATGGAGCCTCCAAGCCAACAGTCCAACGCGCTGGTGCGAAAGCGCACTGACACCGACCTCATGCCACCACCGCCGCCCGCGAAGAAGATCAAGAGGCCCAAGAAGGTCATAGACGAAGATACATATACCGATGCCCTCTCGAAAATTATCGCGCGCGACTTCTTTCCTGGGCTTTTGGAATCGGAAACTCAGCAGGAATACCTCGACGCCCTCGAATCGAAGGACGCGGCATGGATCTCGAGCGCTGGACAAAGGCTACAGCGCGTGATGACTCCAGGAAGGCAGAGGGTGAAGAGACCGCCCACGTTCGAGAATGGAGGGCGCACGCCATCAGCGTACGGCGCGGATACAACAGCATCTATCGCGCCAACAGTCGTTGAGGAGCAGAAGCCCGTTGTGGATACCAACTTGAGCCTAGCCAACTTCCAGGCCAAGTACACCAGTGAGGATAACGAGAGCTTCTACAAACTCATGGACAAGCAAAGTCAGAAGAAAGCGGAGAAGTATGCATGGCTCTGGCATGGGAACAAGCTGCCATCGAAACAGATGATCAAGCAAGCCGAAGTGGAGGAGAAGCTGGCTCAGAACGGCCGCTTGATCGACGACGGGTTTATCAAAAAAGACAGGCTGGCAATCAAGGATGCCGATGATCGGCCAGCCAGGCCGGATAGCTGGAACGCTAACCCGAAGAACAACCTCATGTTTGGGCCAGACGGCGTTGAGGACAAATACGAGAGCCCTGCTCAAAGGGCCGAGGCGACTTCGATGATGGCTCCGAAATCGATCAACTACCAGAACACAAGGATCCCCCAGCCCGCGATTGTCGAAAGGCCATCATCTCCAACAATGTCTGCGGTGAGAGACGCCATCGCGGGCAGGCCGCGAAAGGACGATCAAGCTTCGAGCGCGGTGGGAGGTGGAGAAACGCCAAGGGTGAATGGCTACGCCTTCGTTGATGACGCCGATGATGAAGAAGAGGTTCTTCCAGCACCAGTCATTAACTTAGGCCCTGGTGATGCGACTCCCAACCCTTTTAAATTACAGGAGCAAGGCAAGAGAGAAAGTCTGCATCATCGGCTGGTTGAGAGGGCAGCGCAATCCAAAAGAGAGTCGGTAAAGAATGGATTGACCGGAAAGCTAGAGAGGACCCCAGTGCCAAAGTTTCCATCTAGTCCGAGGGTCTCTGGAGGACTGACGCCTGCCGCTCAAAGACTATGGAGTAAGATCGGAAGTCCCAGACGGGGAAGCCCCAGTGCCTCGACTCCGAAAGCGACGCCGCTGAGGGCACGAGGCTCGCTATTGAAAGGTGGCTCCAAGGTCCCTCAGTGAAATCCAGTAGAATGAAACTTAATTAATGAATAACGAAGGACGACCAAATGGGATAGGGATAGAGCAAGAATAGATACCACATCAGAAGAGAGCGCTATACAGCATGAGGCGGCTTAGCAATAATCATTCTTTGCAACGCATCAAACATGGTCAGGGTTAGTTCAACAAACCCCAAACGAACCTCAAGATAACAATAGCAATCTGCAAGACTCGAGCCTGATAATCCACGTTCGGATCAGGGACTTACACGACCGGCAGTGCCGTGTGGCGCCCCATTAGTCCGATATATCGGATAGGCGCATTTATGGTTCCAAGCCACGCTTGTTGCATGTAGCCATCACTCAACTTTTCTCGATTTATGACGATAACGACTTAGTCCCGGAGCTTCCAGGGAGTCGTGCAGTCATTTTCCGGTCGAAAATCGTGCAATGACTTGCGCGTGAGACAATTGAGACTTGCCGTTCAGATGAGATTCGTCGATTTTGCTGTCGATCTGGCAGCGGTGCTGAGTGCATCGCGCTCAGTCGCATCCAAGCATGTCGCCCTGAGAGGTCGGCAGCTTGAGAGCTTCAGCAAAGCTTCCAGCTTAACACGCCGAGCTCCAGTAGCACCGGAAAACACACGAGCAGACACTGCCGATGAGAGCACATCACCAACGGCTTCACGAGAAGCACATCCATCGACAACAGAGGCACCACCAGTGCAGCCGGAACCGACACCAAAAGTCACTCATGTCCCTCACGCATCTCCAAACCATTTTCAGTCCAAGCCCAGCCATGGATCCGTCACCAAGCCAGATTCCGGTTCGGTTCTTTCTCAACTAAGGCAATCAAACCCTTCCGGCTTCCCGTGGTCTGATGCGTCGCCGTCGGCGGCAAAGCCCAAAGATGACAGCTCCATGAGCAAGGGCGTGACACCAGCATATGGCGCTCCCGTCTCTGAAGAGCTTGATGACGTTCCACCAGATGTCAACATCAACATTTTCCACGGCAACCGTGCTGCTAGTATGATAGGAAAGAAGGATGAAAAGCAGGTGGATCAACTGTTTGGCACTCGAAAGAAGCTCAAGCCGGTCGGTCTTCCTGAGTTTGTTGTTCACTCCAAGCCAGCTGCGAAGGCGCCAGAGAAGAGCTCACCAGCCGTCAAAGCCGCCCAAGAGCCCACGCCGGCTGCACCTCAGGACGGTAAACCGAGTACAGAAACATCCGCAACGGCGGCTCCTGTTAGTTCGGAAAGCGAGCCAGTCCTCAAAGCCTCTCCAATCGAAACGCAAAAAGAAGAGCCGCCAGTCGAGGACGTGCTTGGTGCAGCAGTCGACCAGTCCTCATCCCCAGCCCCAACACCAGCATATGTTCTTAGAGAATCCAAAGTTCCCGCCACCCGGATTAGCAGACTTTGGAACTATGGCGGTCTGGCTGCTGGCATGATGGGAGGCGCCATCACGGAGAGCATCGGCAGGGCCTTTGGCGGCAAGGGCGAGGGCTCGGTATTGCTTAGCGCCGGCAATATGGAGAGACTGGTGTCCAAGCTGTCCAGAATGAGAGGCGCTGCGCTCAAAATGGGTCAGATGATGAGCTTCCAGGACTCCAAGATGCTTCCGGGACCAATTCAGGAGGTGCTACAAAGAGTGCAGGACCGCGCTGACTACATGCCCTCATACCAGAGAGATAAGGTCCTTGTAGCGAACTTGGGTGCTGAATGGCGGGAGCTGTTTGAAGAGTTTGAGGAGAAGCCCATCGCGGCCGCGTCCATCGGCCAGGTCCATCGCGCTACGCTGAAGAACGGTAGGAAAGTGGCAGTTAAGATCCAATTCCCTGGCGTTGCCGACTCCATCAACTCGGATCTCGACAACCTCGGCATTCTGCTGAATGCCACCAAGCTCTTGCCCAAGGGCTTGTACCTCAACAAGACCATCGACAACGCACGACTCGAGCTCGGCTGGGAGTGCGACTACGAGAGAGAAGCACAGTGTCTCATCAAGTACAAGGAGTTGCTTGCCGGGGAGGAGGGCACTTTCCTTGTGCCCGATGTTCACCTGCAAGCTTCTGGCAAGAATGTCCTGACGATGGACTGGATGGACGGCGTTGGAGTTACGAGGGTCACGTCGTTCACCCAAGACCAACGTGATTGGATCGGCACTCAGATCCTCCGCCTCTGCTTGAGGGAAATCACCGAGTTCAAGTTCATGCAAACCGACCCGAACTGGACAAACTTCCTCTACAACGCCAAGACGAACAAGCTCGAGCTGCTCGATTTTGGCGCGTCGAGAGAGTACCCAGATGAGTTCGTCGCGCAGTATGTTCAACTTCTTGCGGCGGCCTCAAGATCTGACCACCAGGGCGTCAAGGAGCTCTCAGAGAGTCTTGGATATCTGACTGGCCATGAAAGCAAGACGATGGTGGATGCTCACGTCAAGTCGGTGCTGACGCTCGCCGAGCCGTTCCTCGCCTCCGCGCCGGAGGTCTACGACTTTAAGGACCAAACCATCACCGAGCGCGTCAAGGCCCTCATCCCCGTCATGCTGCGCGAGCGACTGGCGCCACCGCCCGAGGAGACATATAGCTTGCACCGCAAGTTGAGCGGTGCCTTCCTGCTTTGTGCCAGACTCGGTAGCAAGGTTAGATGCCGAGAAATGTTTGAGGAGAGTTTGAAGAAGAACGGTTATACCGTCTGAGGTTGAGACGGTTGGTTCGCTTGTATCATTTGTATCATCACTGTAACAACATGTTAGAGAGACTACATGATGCGGTCAAAAGAAGTAAGACAGAAAAAGGCCGTGAAGCAGAAAGCACACACAGGCCATGTAATTCTTGATAGACCACGCTAATGCACCATCTCTCCCTATCGAGGTCGCCTCTCCAACTTGTCCAGCTCCTTTCTCTCCTTTGCGACGACCTTCTTGCGCTTCCTCTCGATTGACTTGTCGACCTGCCTCTTCTTCATATTTGAGAATTGGTCCACGAGCAGCCTCTTCTTCTGCTCCGCCTTCTTCAGGTAGAAAGGCTGCTTGCCCTGCTTCACCAGCTCCTTTTCGCGGCGCTTGTGCTCCTGCATCAGCTCCTGCTCCCTGTCCTTGCGTTGCCGCGCCTTCATCTTGGACTCCATCGACAACAAAAGCCGCTTCATCTCCTCCTTCTTCGCCGCATCCTTCGTCTTCTTGATCTCCGCGCGCAACTGCTTCATCTCGTCGGCGCGGTACTCGTCCAGGAACGCATACGCCTTCCTGGCCTTGGCCTCGTCGACGGGGCCGCTGAGCGGGTCGAAGCGCGGGTCGCGCACCTCCATCTTGGGCACGGTGATGACCTCGCGCTTGCGAGAGACCTGTCTCTTGCTGGACATTTCCATGGGCGCATGCTTGCTCGTGCGCTTGGCGAGGTCGGCGGCCGACTTGGGTTTCCTGCCATTTCCGGCCTCCTCAGGGCCGGAATCGGAGTCGGAGTCCTGTTCGGAGGGTTCAGCGGCGGCGCCGCGTTTGCGACGTCCCGCTGGCATGGAGGCTTGGGCTTTGGCGAGTGCGCCGAATGAGACTGACGAGATGTCGATGGTGGGTTTCTTTGGCGGTGGCGATCCATCAGACTGTGGTCATGTTAGCATCGAGTCTCGGTTTCTAAAAAGGTGTGAGATTTACCTCCTCCTCATCGTCCATCTCGTCCTCATCCTCTTCGTCCTCGCTCATCTCATCACCCTCCACACCCATCTCCTCAGGCTCGCTGCTGAAAGTCTCCTCGATTTCCGGCTCCTCGTCCTGCTCTCTTCTCGGCCTCACCCGGCGCTGAAGCCCACCGAATCCTTGTTTTCTCTTTCCGGAAAGCATTTTGTGACGTACTGATACTTTTTTTGCTGAGAAGCTGTGAGAAGCAATCTGAGGAATCACATGGGGGAAGTCTACAGCACTGGAGCTAGCGAAAATTTTAGTGGGTCAACATGAGCATGAACCGTAGATAGGAACATTCTTATCGATTAGATAAGGAATGCATGGAGAGGACAATTTCTCTCAGCGGGCATCCAAACTCACATCGCACGTAGCACACCACATCCACTCTTGCTAACAGCCGTAACGAACTAATCGACAGTCGCTATCTGAGTAATCTTTCAGTACAAGCCAAGTTTCTTTTTGCTCACACGGAGCCAATTAGAGACAACAACTTTCACCCCGCGACCTTAGACCCGCCCATGCGCCCCTCCATCTTAAACGTCTACCCCAGATCTTTCCGGCTTGCCTTCCGCCAGCCATACGCGACTTTGGGCACAACCAGAAAGGTTCTCGCGAGGCAACGCAACCGCCACGACGCGCGCGATCCTCAATTTGGAGGCGGAGTACCTTCATATCCAGACGCGCAACCCCTTCACCCCTTCAAAGTCTACGCAATGGACATGCCCAACATGCAATGGTGGGCCAAGCCCGCCCCGACCATCACCGGAGCTCCCGCACAAACACCTGGCGGAAGCTTCACGATACCCGGCCTCGGAAACAACACACAAAACGGCTCCTTCCCCTTCCCTCAAGCCGCACCAGCTTCTCAGGCCGCGCCCGGCGGCGCAAGCCAGCAGCCCACTCCCTCCAAGGGTCCCCGCGCAAAGTAAGCGATCACCATCTCCATCGCATTTGTCCAAGCTAACCTTTGAACCCCAGGGCCATGAACGACCGCGATAAGATCGTAGCCCCTTCACTCGCCTCAGGCGGCGTCCCCGACCCGACCGCAGAATACCTCCAACGCGCCTCCATCCCACCGACCCTCCTCCCGACCCCGAAGCCTATCCTCGTGGTCATGGACCTCAACGGCACCCTCCTCTACCGCCCCAACCGGCGCAACGCAACCTCCTTCGTCGAGCGCCCGTACGCCAAGCGCTTCCTGCAATACTGCCTCGACACTTTCCACGTGGTCATCTGGTCGTCCGCCCGTCCGCAGAACGTCCAGTCCATGTGCGACCAGCTCCTCCTCGGCCCGCCCATCCCGGGCGGCAGAGACCGGGGTGAGATCCACCGCCGCGTGCTGGCCATTTGGGGCCGCGACCGCTTCGGTCTCTCGAAGGCCGACTACAACCTCCGCGTGCAGGTGTACAAGCGGCTGCAGAAGGTGTGGGACGACCCCCGCGTCAAGTCGTCGCACCCGGACGCCGAGTACGGCGGCTGCTGGGACCAGAGCAACACCGTGCTCATTGACGACTCCCTCGAGAAGGCGCGCAGCGAGCCGTACAACCTGCTTCGCATCCCCGAGTTCTTCGGTAACGACGCGGAGCCGGGCTTGGTGGTCCCGCAGGTTCACGACTACCTCAACTCGCTCTGCTATCAGTCGGATATCAGCAGCTACATGCGCACAAACCCATTTCAGATGAAGGAGGACTACAAGCTGGAACCGCCCGAGGAGAAGTAGTGGCGTTCCTGGGTTAGATTGGCACTTTGCAGATAAAAAGGTGCCAGGCGTGTGCAGCCGGAGTACGCAATTGGCAGGGTGGGATACGGCCTTCATAGCATCGAGATACCCCTAGTCTTCATAGACATTGGAATGGAATAGACAATGAGTCAAGTCACTTTCGGTCACGGCCGCCGTTGGGAAAACGTATTTTTGGTTTGATCATCAGGAATGTCCTGCATCTATTGCCTAGTCCTAGTGACTCGGCACACAACATCTGGCATTACGCGCAAGATATCTCTTCTCGGGTCCATAACATCGTCTACACACCACCTTGCCTAGTCGTAAACTCATTTCATCTCTGCCATAAGCCGTGAATGTCGGATCTCCCCCTAACAAATAAGTGACGCGCTTATTTGAAGACCTTGCCGTCGGCAACGGGGTACTCCTTGCCGTTGTGGGTGATGGGCTTCTCCCAGCCCCAAGAGTCGGAGACGTACTGCTTGTCCTCGGCCTTGGTAGGGTCGAGCTTCTCGAAGTCGTAGCTCTCGTAGTCGGGAGCGACGTCGAAAGCGGGCTTGTAGTCCTGGCCACGGATGACAAAGGCTCCCTCAATAACGGAGTCGTTGTTGGCGCCGTAGACGGCAGCGCATCCGAAGATGAACTTGCGGGAACCCTCAAGACGGTTGTTGAAGCCGCCAATCAGGTTGTTGGACATGAAGGTCATGGTGAGCTCGTCGTTGTACTTGTACTTGACCTTCCAGAGGGAGAACTCCTCGAAGTTGGCGTTGGACCAGAACCAGTTCATGGCCTCCTCGTGGTTCTTGATGTTAGAGTACTGACGCTTCCACTCCTCGAGGTCGAAGGTGGCGCGGGGGAGCTCAGCAAGGGGGTGCTTGGGCTTGGGGGCGGCAGGGGCCTCCTCAGCAGCCGGGGCAGCGGGCTTGGGGGCCTCCTTCTTGGCCTCCTTCTTGGGCTGCTCAGGCTTCTTGGGGGGGACGTTGGTGAGCTTGGGGGTCTCGAGGTACTCCTGCTTCTCGGAAACGGCAGTCCAGATGTCCTGGTTGATGATGGTGTCGTACCAACGGGTGACGTTGGGGTTCTCCTGGCGCCACTGCTTGTCGAAGAAGAACTCGAAGCCACGGGCAATGATGCCAGCGGCGAAGAGGTCGGCAAGGGTGATGCGCTCGCCAACGAGGTAGGTGTTGCTGAGGAGGTGCTCCTCGACGACCTTGACGGCCTTGAGGGCGACCTTGGAGGAGTCCTCGACGGCCTTCTTGTTGTAGGCGTCCTTGCCGAGGAGGGGGCGGTACCAAGCACCCATGGGGGGGAGGACCTCAGAGTTGAAGTAGGACATCCACTTCAGGATGGAAGCGTAGCTGCAGGACGGTCGGTTAGCTCCGTGCTCTCAAGGTCGGTGGGTGCCAGACTGTGACTCACTCCTGCTTGGTCTTGCCGAGAAGGGTGGTCTTCTCGTTCTGGGAGGTGACTGTGGCCGGGTTAGCTGATGTGTCCCAGCACGCGGTTTCCAAGCATTGCGAAGGAAGATGGCAAGATCAGAAATTAGAACTCTATCCACACGGTGGTTCGGACAGGGATAACTGTAAAATTTGTGCTTATTCGTCATTTCGGAGGGGTGAGGGCTGTGGTGTTTGTGGCGCGAGAGGAATCGGCGCCCAACAAAGGACTGGGCTTATGTGACTCAGGGCGAACGTACTGTAGATGGCGATGGCAATGCACTCAGAGAGAGGGTAGCCATCCTCGCCAAGGAAGGCAGGGACCTTGCCGAGCTTGTTGGCCTTGAGGTGCTCGATGGAAGGCTTGGTGGTGTCGGCCTCGATGTACTCAAGGTCGACGTTGTTGGCCTTCGCGACGGCGCGGATGGCCGCGGTGCGGGGGTTGGCCTGGAGGGGCGACAAGTCAGCTTCAAGAATCCTCAGAGATCGCAAAGTCGAACAGGAAATCAAGAAGCAATTGGTGATTGCTTACCGGGTAGGTGAAGAGCTTGCCGAACGCCATCTTGTTTCAGTTGAGCGACTGAGATGGAAGGGTATCAAGAGTGTGTGAGGTGATGGACTGGAGAGGAGAAAGGAAAAAGTTCGACTTCCCCCGCTGCTGAAGGACTGCAATTTTTTTGAATGAGACGGCAATTTCGAGGCCAGTGCCCCGCCGTGGCCACCCAACCCCTCCTCGCCCGAAAGCTCCAGGGCAGTCACTGTGGCTTGAGTGAGGGGTATCGCTGTAGACGAGGCAACGGAAGGTCTGTGCGCACCACAAAAGTGGCTGATCATCGTGGCTGACATCGAAATACGGTCCGATATTCTCCCGCCGAACCGCCGACAGGAAATTCTAGCTTCTGAGGTTGGTATCACGAAGAAATTCGCGACATCGCGACGACCGCCCAACCGACGAGGGCGCTGACCGAAGTCCCAACAACATGTCGACCATACGCCACGGGCTGCGGCAGACGCTCTGCCTGCGCCAGGCGGCGAAAAGCCAGCATGCGAAGCTGCAATGGCAACGACCGAGCATTCAGGTCGGCATCAAGTCCATGTCGACCTCGACACCTATCGAACCACCGAAAAAGCCCCCGGGAAACGCGCTTCCAGACCTCACAGCCCTCCCGCCAGGCTTCGATATAGAAAAGCTCACCAAGAGCAAACTCGCTAAGCCGCTAGAAGACCCATTCCCGGGCATGGTCCACGCCCGCGCCGTACCCGTCTCTCCGTCCTACTTCTCCAGGGAGCCTCACTTCAACGACTCCTTCATCAAGTTCTCTCACCTCATGGAGAAGTACCAACACCTCCCGCTCTCACCACCGGACATGGTTCCCCGACAGCTGTGGAGGACGCTCAAGGGATACCGCACGATGCACGGAGAGCCGGTCAAGGCAAAGCCCTACAGCCAGCTTCTGGCCATGATCAAGCACCTGCACGCCATCATCCCCAAGCTGATGCCCGAGGACGTCAAGCATGCCCTGGAGGGGTTCAAGAGAGATATCGACCCGTTCAAGAACGTGGCCAAGGTCAAGCCCCTCGACAAACACGGACGTGCGCTGGGAATCGGTCGGAGAAAGACGTCTAGCGCTCGTGCCTGGGTCGTTGAGGGCACCGGAGAGGTCCTGGTCAACGGCAAGCCTCTGAACGAGGTCTTTGGCAGGATTCACGACCGCGAGAGTGCCATCTGGGCACTGCGAAGCACAGCAAGGACGGACAAGTACAACGTATGGGCGCTGGTGGACGGTGGTGGCGTCACAGGCCAGGCCGAAGCCCTGACTTTGGCAATCGCCAAAGCGATGTTGGTTCATGAGCCCGACTTGAGGAGGTCGTTGAGAAAGGGTAAGTGGACATTTCGAGGCTCGGCAGCCTCTGGTCGAAGGGACATATCGCTAATCTATCTGGATGGGCAGCTGGCTGCATCACGCGCGACGCGAGAAGGGTGGAAAGAAAGAAGCATGGTCACCTCAAGGCCAGAAAGTCGCCTACCTGGGTCAAGAGATAGAAGCGTTTCTGGCCATGCTGGGGGCAATCAGTCACCCGCGCCAAACACCTTCTTGTTGTACTACCACCCTCGTGTATTCATAGAAAAAAGGCAGCTCGAACAATGCCAGCCTATGATGTCCACTAGCCCTGTAGCCTCGAGATGAGATCGGGAAGGCGTCTAGCGTGACAAGCTATTGTGTCGTGATAAGGGAGCGCACACCGGCCTTCGGTAATGACGAAGCAGGCTGGCCTTGTACCTCTTGCTAGCGCAATCATACCCTTGGGAACGCGGTGGACTAAGCATCGTCCTTCACTCGGTGATTCCGGAGGCTCAGCGGTGCTAATATCAGAGAGGATAGCGAGTGATACACATTCATGAACGTTCAGATTCAGGGCGCAGTAGACTGTTCGTGTCGCGGCCTTGCTGTATCAACCACGTGGAAGTAGAGAGTTGCACTTATTGTCCACGTCGGAGGAAAGCCCAAACCATCAAACCCGGACCTTGCAGTTCGCGGAGAAGCAACGTGGTGTCTCCAACCTCGAGCATCCCGTCCTAGTTGCGGCCGAGCGACGGAGCCACATGGCACCACAATGCATGATTGTCGCGTGGGCGAGTGTCGATTCAGGAACCAGATAGCACATTACTGGGCATGGACCGAATTGGGACAAATTCCGTCATGAATGGGTGCAAATCACGACGACAAGGAGTCTCTGGGTGGTGATACGGATGCTTCTCCGGCAAATTGTATATGTGGTCGAATCAGCGATATCAACAATGGCGATAACCGTGTAGCCATGTCGTGTGGCTGACACGGCTCATTTAACTAGTGCGTGCAGTGACCACATTTGACGGTTAACGGAGCGGCCGTCAATGGAGTTTGGCGCGCATTGAAACCGGGTCTTGGAGGGAATGAAGGCAGCTTTCGTGTGTCATTATCAGGCCAGAATCATAGGCCACCGGATGGCACCTGTGTAGAGCTGCGGGCGGAATGGAAGATGCGAACAATATTAAAAAGGGTCCGTGAGCATGCGCGTCGACACCTCTGGCGTTGAGGACTCAAGCCCGATGGTGACGCCCCCATCGCCAGCGTTGCAGAAACGCGTCCGGCGAGGGCCTTGTTTCAATTTCCCACACAAGGTAACCCCTAAAAGGAGACGACAGCGAGGGCACAGACATTTGCACCGGTGCTGCCCACCGAAGGTTTCTAGAAGCATGGAACGAATGAATCGAAGGTTCGTGGAGTTGGTTTCACCCCTTGCGTCCGTTTTTTCTCGTGACGGGATTTTAGTCCCGTCGGCCATTTATTCGGACGGTGGGCAGCACGACTCGACTGGTTTCACCGGATCGGGGATGGCGGCGACGAATTTCGAGCAGATCTTGTTCTGGTTGTGTGGTGGGGATTGCTGATGACAATGATGATGAGATGGGGGAAGGGGAGGGAAAAAAAAAAGGGGGGGGTGTGCGTGCTTGACCTCTGGGATGGATGGATGGATGAGTGAACAAAGAAAGAAGCGGTTGAATTAGAAGCCAATTACGAGCGCGGGCGGGCAGCGGATGAGGCGTGATAAGGGTGGTAGTATAGGGCCGTTTTGATGGTGGCTTGAGACGACATAATGGATGGTTGGACGGATGAATGAATGGACGGACGGTAAGGAACGTAGAAGCATTGATCAGAACAATGTAAAGTGACGTGATGCGAGAACGAGGCTATTCAGTCGCATGTGTCTCGTGGTGGCTACTTACTTGCGGTAGCGTCGCATCTCTTTTCGAGGCCGCGGGAACGAGTGGACGACAGCATCAGACAGCTTCTCGGGAAGGATCTCTTGTGCTGATTGTGAAGTTGGTAAGAGAGAGTCTCGTGGCGATGTGCGGGGATCAACCAGGCGTCTGTTGAGATGATCGACGGTTGTCGCCTCGTGTGAGGCTGAGATGGCCCGAAATGTGTTCAACGGCGGCGTAACGGTCCAGACGTTGCCGAGGATGGACGCTGCATTGTCTTGGTGCAGCACCACACCATTCTGACAGCGACACCACCACCACAACTCGTGCTTCGGGGTGTAAGTGCAAGCAAGGTGTAGGGTCGGGGCAGGCAGGTGTGAATGGCGGGGCACAGGAAATGACGGCTGCTATTGGGCGACTCTAGTTCGACCGTTGGCGGTCAGATTCCGACGTTGGACGCGCAAGTTTGATAGCTGCTAGCAGTACGTAGTGTGGTTTGAGTCTTGAGATTTTGAGTTGAGCAAGATGGCGGCGTTCGGCAAGCCGCGGGCGTTGAGTCGGGGATTTGAAGGGGAGGTGGGCTGTGGATGAAAAGTGCCGGTGCGTATCACCTCATGGGCCAAGTCCCTAAATCGTCTTAGGTAAGGCGTCAAGTTAGAGTGTCGTTCTTCGCAACCCGTCAACTTGCAGGACCGTGTAAGCGCCGTCTACTATGCAGTAGGACGTTGTTAGCGCGCTTTCGCGCAAGCTTTTGCACGCGGTGCCATGCGTCCGGAAGTTAAGCCAAGGTAAGGTAAGGTATCCGCAGATGTGAGTGTGAGGTGCATCCAAGTTAAAAAAAAAAAAAAAAAGCAGGTTGGCCAGACGGGTTAGGTTGGGTTGGACTGCAATCAACCCGACTGGAAGAGAACAGGTGAGTGGGTTGGAGTCGTTTGGGCCCTTCTCTCTGGTCAATTGAGAGCGTCTGGTTGGGCAATTGGGTTGAGCTGCAGGAAGCTCTGTCTGTGGGCAGACGCGTGATTGGCACTGAACGTTGCAACCACAGCAAGGACCAAGGGCCGCGGAAGACTCAACGTCACAAGATACACCAAGTCTGAGTGAGGTGAGGGAAATTTGGTGATGGTTTACACTACTACGTACATACTTGGAGAAAGCTGGGCACCGTCCACACACCTCCAGAGGCCCCACCAGGGATTGCATTCGGTGCACGCAGTGGTGTCTTTCCGTTCAATCCAGGGACAGGGCCCGAGAACCAAAAAAAGAATACGTGGGCAGGAAAGTCGAGGCGCTAGACCTATCGCGGAAATCGTAGTTGAGCCTACCCTACAGTCCTTACCTAGGTACGAACAGTACCTACTTTACTAAGTACTTGGTCGTAATAAGTAACATAAAGCCAATGGCAATCGCGATGCAACAGCGACAGCGACAGCACGGAACGGAGAAAAGCGTAATTACATCTGAAGGAAAGAAGACGCGGGAGAGCCAGGAATATCAGGCACAGAAGGTCCAAACGGATGCATGCAAACTATCCGCGCCTCAGGCTCAAGGTAACCCAGGTGAGGTGCTCTTGTTGAGTGGGTTGGGCTAAGGTAGGCTGGGCTGGCTGGGTTGGATGGGTTGTAATCTGATTCCTCACATCTCACCATGCTGGATCAGAGCTGTCCTGATGAAATCTCACGAGCACCTCTTGTGGGCCTGGAGAATCTACACAATTTGAGATAGTGTTCTTGCAACGACCGTGTACTCCTCCCAGATATGCCGGATAATCTACGTCCGTATGACCGTCGGAACGGGAGTCGAGTTTGAGAAAGAAAAGTGCAGGGAGGCCGTAGCAGCGTTTGCAATTACACGCATCCGAATCACATCACGCCTCGCCAAGAAGCACGCATCGCATCGCATCGCATCGCATCGCATCCCGAGTGCCCCTTCCCTTCCTTCCCTTCCTTCCCTTCTGAAGTTTCTGCCCAGTGCCTCCTCCATCCAGCATCGGCTCCAGCTCCGGCCCCAGGGAGCGTTCCGGCTAATGCAATGCAAATGACAAAAGGACCTCGACATGTTGCATTCGTCCGACAATCCCCATTTCTTACCTCTCCAGGAGTCCAGCCAATGTCCCATCTCAACGCTCTCTGTCTGCCATCATCGTTTCCATCCTCTGTCTGTAGGTACGGATGGATACCTACCTTACAATTTGCAGCTTCTGCAGCTGCAGCAAGCAATGTCGTCTTCCTTCACAAGCCTCCCTCTATGCGCGAAATGTCGCATTCAGGCACGATCCCTGAATCGCTAGGGCTTTTGTGGCCCCCCATGGCCCCTCTCCCAATCCCAGACTTCAAAAAGGACAACTGGACCCTCCACCACACTCCACGTCTCCGACCCTGCAGCTGCAGCAGAATGGATTCCACCTCGAGCTACCTTATGGATCCCCATCTGCACATGTACAGGTACAGTCGCGTTCCGTACCCTCCGAACCACTCAAGCAAGGCACCGGCACTCGTTCAGGAACCCACCCAGCCCATGTTTTCAACCCTTGCTGAGAGACAGGGGTCTTGGGCAGGCCTTCTTGGACTTCACTTGCTCCCCGTCTGCTCCTTCTTACTTTCCCCCTGGCCACCACGACACTTCCGCAAGGAACATGGTTCTAAACTTTGTCAACTTCAACACGCGTTCACAACTGACCTCACTGCCACCGAGGTAGCAGTACTTGCTTTTCTGTTCTGCAGTCATCCTGCGCAAGCAACGCAGCAGCAGCAGCAAGCGTCTGCAGCTGCGACGGCAGACGACGACCAGCCACATCTGCATAACACAGACACACACGACATTGTTCACCCTCATTCTCCTATGCACCCAGCTTGGACGCTGCATAAACCACCCGCCCCCTTCTCGAATGAATATGCCACTCTCCGACGCCAGCGCCGACGCCTCTGCCGTCGCCATTGCCGTTTCTCGAACGAACGAACACGCGCGCGCGCTCAGATACTGCTTGCTGGCCGGCCTGGGGGGAGGATATTGGCATCCCGTGTCGCCGCAGCAAAGTGAGGCTTCAATCACCGCAACCATTGGGCATCGTCGAGTCTCACCAGTTGCCGAACCCGGTCTGGTCAGGCCTTCACGGCATTCTTCTTTATTCTTCCTGCCCCGACTTGCTCACCTGCAAAAGGGGGCGCCAGGTCGCGTGGTGTATCACCTCGAACTGCCCCCTTCTCAATATTCCAAATGTCGGCCTGTCGTCTTCGTTCCTTGCATTCCCTTCGTTTTCACTGGTCAAAGACTCGCGGGATCGGAAGCCTCTTCCTGTCTTG